TCCAGGAGTATAATTGTTTTTCTTATCTCATTCCAAAATGGATTTGTGGCACTGTAACACACTCATACAACATATAGGATGAAAGCAGGAGTGAATGAGGGAGGAAGAAAAATAAAAGATTTAGCTGGAAGTAATGCTAGTACATGCCACAAAGTCCTACATACTTTGTTAGAGGTGAGCCACAGTTTGTCTCTGAGCTTCCTGGCAGGCAATAGGAAGAAAGGAATGTGATCTGGAACACATTTTATTTTTTATTTATTTATTTTTTCTTCCTTCACATTTATTGAATACCTATTAAGTGCATAGTACAATGCTAAGATCAGGAGATAGAGGGCTTTTTTTTTTTTTTTTTTTTTTTTTTTTTTGGAACACATTTTATACATATTAGCCAAAAAAATCCCATTGCTAAGAAGAAGTGAACCTATTCCCAATACTGAGGGTTGAGAGAATTTTCTTCCCTGGATCCTTGTGGATATTATTGGCTACTGAAACAGTCATTTTCTCAATAACATCTCTGTAGCAAAGATTTTACAAGCTGTAGATCGTGACATGGTATGTAATGAAATCAATTCAGTGGGTTGATGTAATATGATAAAAAGTAAATATTTGGTCTTTGTCCCCCTGCGTTCTTGACACAGAGCTCCTAAAACCCTTGGAATTTCCTGGGTGATAAGGCTATCTGTATGTTTAGATGACTGACTCCTGATGGGAAGCTTCAGGATGGGAACCCATCCTTAGGAAGACCAAGCCGTGATTAGACTATTGGAACTTTCAGGTCCCCCCCCATCCTCCCTACCCTATGGAGAGAGGAGAGGAGCTGGAGATTGAGTTCAATCACCATTGGCCAGTGATTTAATCAATCATGCCTACCTAATGAAATATCCATAAAAACCCCTGAATGATGGGGTTCAGGGAGCTTCCAGGCTGGTGAACACACTGAGGTGCTGGGAGGGTTGCCCACTTACAGAGGGTGTGGAAGCTCCGCACCTTTCCCCACATACCTTGCCCTGTGTGTCTCTTCGTTTGGCTGCTCCTGAATTATGCACTTTGTAATAAACCGAGAAAGGTAAGTAAAGTGTTTTCCTGAGTTCTGTGAGTCATTCTAGCAAATTATCAAACGTTTGGAGGAAGTGGTAGGAAGCCCCGATTTATAGCTGGTCAGTCAGAAGTATGGGCATCCCCCCTCCCCTGGGACTTGCAGCTGGGGCCTGAAGTGGGGGCAGTCTCATGGGACTGAACTCTTAACCTGTAGAGTCTGTGCTAACTGTGGGAATGGGTGTCTGAATTTAATTGAATTGTTGGACACCATTTGTTGTCAGATAATCAGAATTGGAGAGTTGCAAACAGTTTTTTTAAAAAGAATTTAAAATATAGTAGAATATGTTGGAGTGTGTCACATCTATGGCTTTTGTGAGACTTTTGTTTCAGGGTGTGCATGTGTGCTTGTGCACACATGCATTACATTGTGATATAAAATGTATTTCTTACTGGTGATCGTGGCCAAAAAAACCAAATCTCCAAACGAGTGATATTCACCAAGCTGAGCTTCCAATATGTCATTGTCTGGCTGGGGGAGCCCAGGTGCACGTGTCAAAACTCCCTGGGCAGCAGAAGGATGTGCATCATCATGTATGTGGCAAGTGGGGAGAGAGCCCCCAGTGGAGAGAGGTTTAGCACTTTGCTCTCTGGAGGAAAGGTGGACAGGTGGTGAGCGAAGCAAGCAGGTGACAGGTGGCTGCATTTTCTTTAGCTGAGGAGGAAGCAGTGGTCGTGTATTCCATCTCTCTGGCTGGCTGGAGCTCTTGGCTGATGAACCTCAGGTTTCCTCATCCGTGAAATGGGACTCAGCACAGTCCCAGCTCAGTACCTGCGTGGTGTTCTTGTTACTGTTATTTTTGTGGTTGATTCCTAATCTGTAAAATGAGGGAGATCTGTAAGGATCTGTAAGGCCTTTAAGTGGGTGTCAAAACCTGGGCTTGAAAACTTGGGTAAAGTTTGCTCCTGTATATTGCTGAATACTATTCTGTTCTGTGAATACACCGTAAGGAAATACCACGTTTTACCAGTTAAGGGACATTTGGATTTTTTTCTACTTTTTGGTTACTATGGACATTCATATACATGTCTTTGTGTGCACATGTGTTCATCTCTCTCGTGTAGGTTCCTAGGAGCGGAATTGCTAGGTTGTATGGTAAATTTATGTTTAACTTTTTTAGAAACTGCTAAACTGTTTTCCAAAGTGGCTCTACTATTTATATTCCAGTTTTTCCACATTCTCACTAACATTCGTTTTTATCTGTCTTTTTTATTATAGCCAATCTAGTGGGTGTGTATTGGTATCTCATTATGGTTTTGTGTTTCTCTAATGACTTAATGTTATTAAGCATCTTGTGCTTTTAGCCATTTGTATATCTTCTTTGATAAAATGTCTATTCAGATATTTTGCCCATTTAAAAAAATTGAGTTGTTTGTATTTTTATTATTTTATTAACAGAACTCTATGTATTCTGGATATAAACCCTCCATCAGATACACAGTTTGCAAATATTTTCTCCCAGTCTGTGGCTTGTCTTTTCATCTTTTTAATGGTGTCTTTTGAAGTACAGAAGTTTTTAATTTGACTATGTCCAATTGATCGATTTCTTTTATGGATTGTGCATTTGGTATATAGCTAAGAATATTTTGCCCGACTCAAGGTTGTAAAGATTTTCTCCTATATTTTCTTCTAGAAGATTTAGAGGTATAGCTCTTATATTGCAGTCTGTGACCCATTTTGACCTAATGTTTGTGTATGGTATGAGATTTAGATGGAGGTTAATTTTTTTGCCTCTTTTGCAGAAGAGAGTTTACAAAGCAGGCCTGAAGATGGCTATGCTTAGAAAGGCCTGCTTACAAGATTGGCCCTTGGCTGGTGTGTGGAAACTTAGATTTTAGAAGAGTTACTATCATTCCCAGACTGATAAAAGTGGCTCATTGTGCCTCACCTGTTTGTACAAATGATGTGGTTTATGTTGAACCACCTGCTTTCCTTCTGGAATTATGGAATTACGGAACATGCTATGCGAGGCTTACATTATCGGGCCCCAGTAAAAACCCTGGTCACTGAGTCTCTAATGAGCTTCCCTGGTAGGAGGACATTAAGCACATTCTGAGTGAATCCACTGGAAGAGGTCTCTTAGAAGCCTGTGCCTGGTTTCCTCCAAACTTCACCCCATGTGCCTTTCCCTTTGCCAATTTTTCTTTGAGTTTTTCTATAACAAATCATATCCATGAGTCCTGCGAGTCCTCCTAGTGAATTGCTGAACGTGGGGGTGGTCTTGGGGACCTGAAAACTATCTTTCCCCCCTTGAACTGTCTTATACTTTTGTCAAAATCAATTGACCATAAGTGTAAAATTTTACTTCTGGACTCTGTTTTGTTCCATTGCCTATCCTTATGCCAGCACCACACTAGCTTGATTACTGTGGCTTTATTGTAACTTTTAAGATCAAATAGCATAAGTTCTCCAACTTTGTTCTTCTTTTTCAAAATTATTTTGGCTATTCTAAGTCCTTTGCATTTCCATGTAAATTTTAGGATCAGATTGTCAATTTCTACTAAAAAGCTCACTAGACTTTTGATTGGGATTGCATTGAATTGATAGATCAATTGGGGAGATTTCACACCTTGACAATAGTGAGTCTTCCTAACCAGAAACATGGAATGTCTTTCCATTTAATATCTCAGCAATGTTTTGTAGTTTTCAGTGTACAAGTCTTGTGCTTCCTTTGTTAAATTTATTCGAGTATTTTATTCTTTTTGATGCTATTGTAAATGGAATGGTTTTCTTAATTTCATTTCAAGATTGTTTATTGCTAGTGTATAGAAATATAGTTGATTTTTGCACATTGAATTGTATTCTGTTATCTTGCTAAATTGATTTGTTCTAATATTTGCTTTGTGGATGTCGTGGGATTTTCTACATATAAGATATTGTCATCTGTGAATAAAGACAGTTTTACTTATTCCTTTCTAATCTGGATGCCTTTAATTTCTTTATTTGCCTCATAGCTACTGGCTTGAGCCTCCATTAGAATGTTGATTGGAAACAGCAAAGCAGACATTTTGGGGGCTGGCTGATTAGTTCATTTGACTAGAGTGTGGCACTGATAATACCAAGGTGTCAAGAGTTCAGATCCCCATACTGGCCAGCCACCAAAAAAATAAATAAATAAAAGTTTTTAAAAGCACACGTTTTTGCTTTGTTCCTGATCAAAGGGGAAAGCAGTCAGTCTCTCACCGTTAGTGTGATGTTAGCTGTGGTTTTTTATAGATGCTCTTTATCAGGTTTTGTAAGTTCTCTTTTTTTTCCTAGTTTGCTGAGAATTTTTTATCATGAATCTGTTGGATTTTGTCACTTGCTTTTTTCTGGATCTATTGAGATGACCGTGTGTTTTTTGCCCTTTATTCTATAATATAATTTGTTACATTAATTGATTTTCAAACGTTAAACCAACCTTGCATTCCTGGGATCAATCTCACTTGTCATGTGTATAATCCTTTTTCTATGTTGCTAGGTTCAAGTAGCTGATATTTTGTGGAGGATTTTTGCAAACATATTCATGAAGGATATTGAACTGTTGTTTTGTTTTCTTGTGATGTCTTTCTCTGGTTTTGGATCAGGGTAATATTAGCCTCATAGACCGAGTTGGAAAGCCTTACTGTCTCTATTTTCTCATCCATTTCTTTTAAAGGGGATAATTTATGGCTTTTTGTGGAATGACTAGAAGCAGTTTTCTTTTCTCTTCTTCAGGCTGGTTCTTTGCAAGGATCTCTTAGGAGTCATGTCAGGCAGCTCAGTGTTGTTGGCTATGTCACTAGGTCCATTTTATCTGATCACATCTGGCACTTATCTGCAAGCAGCGCCCAGAGCTTCCCTGCAGAGATTGGGGGTTGAGTCTGCTCACCCAGCAGCTGGGATGCGAGGCTGAGGGTGCTTCTCTCCCTCTCTCTTTGAACAGAGCAGCCACGAACCACAAGGTGCGGGAGCAAGTGCGCTTGGAGCTCAGCTTCGTCAACTCAGACCTGCAGATGCTCAAGGAAGAGCTGGAGGGGCTCAACATCTCAGTGGGAGTCTATCAGAGCACAGAGTAAGTGGGGGTAATGCTTCTTCCAGTCACTTGCTGAACCTGAGAACATGCCTGCATCAGGAGTAATATACAGTTAGGCCAGGTGGGAGTTGTGGACCGAGGGCGTAGTGGCCTGCAATTTGGGAAGTGAGAAAACAGTCAGGTTTGGGGTTGAGCACATTGCTACAGTTAAAGGGATGAACCCATGGAGTTTGTTGGGAAATTCTGAAGTGGTTGACAAAAAGATACTTGTCCTGGGATCCCTTGGGACATGGTTTTATGGGAGAGTTGCATGTCTGGATCCAGGTGGGGAGGTGGCATCTCTCACATGGGCTGGGGTGGTAGCTCTGCTGTAAAGATGCCCTGGAAGCACTTCTGTGGGTAGCTTTGAGAGCTGACCCACTAGATGGGGCCCGAGTTGCCCTGCCTTCCTCCCTGTCAGCCTCTTACCAACCACAGAGCCTTACTCGGGGTCATTCTGTTGATGGAATGCGAAAAGTGTAATTCACCTTAACTAGAATCTTTTACATCAGAGATTATGGGACCCATGTGGGTTCCCTAAGAAGATGGTACAACTGAGACACTTCAGAAATGTTCCCTGTTAAATGTTTGAGAAATGAATGTTCTGATTCAGAAGCATCCCTTAGGGGAGTATTTGTGGGAGGTGGAATATTGAGGTGTGGCCTTCAGAAAGTCTCCTGCCCCAGGGTGAGCTACCTCAGAAAAAAATGCCTGTCTTTAAGAAGAAATAACTTTGAGAAGCTCCAAAGAAGGGTTACATACTTTTCATGTGAGGAAATGAGACTTCTCAAAGAGTAGGTGAGCCCCAGGGAAACTCAGAAAATAGTTCCCTAGATTAACAAAAGAAGACACTTGGGAACTTTGAGTTACCTTTGGAATGTGCATTTCCTGATCCGTAATCTTAAGGCACCTGGGCATTTCTTGGAGCCAGAGGGAAGGCATTACTGCTGATGCCTCCACTGGTTCTCCTGTGCCTGGCTGGCTTTCCTGTGGGCTCCCCGCACAGTTCGGAACACCTAGTCAGAGCAACAGCAAATGGAAGATTCTCCCAGCCTATGCTCATATGGTAAATTCCAGAGTTTTGCCCAAAAGTTCCAAGTTCCTTGACAAGGTGAGGCAGGGCCAAACTGTAGTAACACATGTGAGCTTTTTCATACACACATTTGCCATACTGAAGAGCAGGGATGTCTATCGCAGGGGCTTCCCACAGAGACAGGCAGTGAAGGCCGCTTGAGTGGTCACTGTGGCTCTAGAGTGGTGACAGTCAATCTCATGTTCCACTGGGAAGGGGAGAGAGATGTGCAGATTCACACTGACACCTTGCATGAGAAGAGGAAGGCTCTGAGGCCTGGCCTTCCCTTGTCTCCTTCCACCAGCGTCCAGCCCTCCCCACGGGCTTCAGGGAAGCCATGCACCTGGGGTGGGTCATGCCTGCTTTGAGCACCACAGAGGCAGTTTCAGCTTACAGCTGCATTGTCCACTCATCCTGCCTGGTGTCCCTGGCCTTTTTTCCAGGCTGAGCTGAGCCGAGCAGCCCAAGGAGGTCTCCTGTTACAGGTCCGGAGCTAAACCCCTGTTTGCAAAACAAAGCCTGAGCCCTGTTTTCTCCCTGCTGGCCCTGCCCCTAAGAATGCAAGCTCAGGGAGCACTCCCAGGGTGACCTGTGGTCAGTAGGGGGAGAGGAGGTGGAGGGGAAGCAGTGGCCAAGGTCTGACCCTGGGGCTGGGAGTTAAGTACACGTAGGTATCAGATGAGGCCCCTGCTCTTAAGGCATTCCCTGTGCAGGTGATGGGAAACGTAGACTGACTGCCCTAAAGGAGGAAGCCCCTAAGAGCCCAGGGTTGTGAGTGTGGGGGAGTGTTGGAGGACTGCCAGAGAGGTGAGACCCTCTGCAGTGAGGAGTGAGGAGCAGGATGGAGATGGGGATTGGGGGTTGACAAGGAGGCCTGGTGTGGCAGGCTGGTGTACCTAGGTAGGGGAGAAGTGAGCATACCAGGCACAGACCCTGGTGCAGGATAGGATTTCAGCACAGTTGCTGGAAGAAGGGTTGAGTTTGGAGGGATAAGTCAGGGTCGAGATGGTGGTCCAGAAGCTTATTAGAGGCAGTTTTAGAACCAAGGGATGGGAATAACCAGAGTTATTTTTATGGGAAATGAGCCTGTCAGCCAGGTGTGTGCTAGATTGGCATGAGGAGAGGATGGGGACCTGTGCTGGGCTTCTGGGGGCAAGGCCATGGGGTGCATAGTGGCTGATTTGGGGGTGTTCATATACCTTGTTCTTTTCTTTATAGGGAGGCATTTACGATTCCCCTGATTCCTCTTGGCCTGAAGGAAACCAAAGATGTTGACTTTTCAGTCGTCCTCAAGGTAAATCTCAAAGCAATGGGCATGGGACTTAATGTTCAAAATGGAAATACAGAAATTGTGTATCCCTTAGGCTCAATGGGCCGAGTATCAGTTGATGTCTGCAGGGTGACCCTGAGCCCCTTCTTAGCCAGCTACACAAAGAATTTGTGCATTCATTGCTCCCATATTCTTGCTCTTATCTCTGGTGACTTCTGAAGCTCCTTCTGGGTGCCTGGAGAAGGCAGGTCAAAATTCAGGCTGGCCCTGCCCAGGAGGCCAAATCAAAAGGTCTGTGCTTTGGAATTTAAAAATTATATCCCATTTTAGCATTTTTTATCTTAAATTGTGTGACCAATTTAGGCCATGTTTTTGGAAGAATAGCCAAAGTTTCTCCCCTCAAAACTTCGTTATGAAAGTTTCCAAATTTACTGAAAAATTGTAAGAATTTTATAGTGAACCCCTGTGTACTTACTACCTAGGTTCTACCATTAACATTTTGCTATGGTTGTCTTCTGACATACCCGTCCATGTATGCATCTCTGTGTCTGTCCACCAATCCGTCTTATTATTATTACTTTTTAAAATTTATCAATATACAATGTAGTTGATTTTTGTGTCCCTTTACCAGTTCCTCCTTTCTCCCCCTCCCTCTCCCCCCATCAACATCATATCTGTTCACTTATCTTAACAAGTTCAAGGGATCTGTCTTATTTTGTGATGCATTTCAGAGTAAACCGAAGATGTTACTGCCCTTAAATACTTGAATAACTAGAGTTTGGGGTTTTTTTTTCCCCTGTCTAATTCCTGGGTATCTATCTGGGCTCCTCTCTTGTTCAGCAGATACTATAGGTCCACCTGTGCCTGGTACTGTGCAGGGTGCTGAAGATGCTACAAGCCCTGCTTTCGGGGCCTGTGGGTCAGTGGGGGTTTCAGGTGGGAAATGAGAGAGATGCATGTCAGAACCACCCAGGAGAAGCCATGCCCCTAGGCTGGGCCAGGAGACCATCCTGTTCCTGGAATATCCTCCTCTTCCTCCTCTCCCTAGCTCCATCAGTTTAAGTTTTAATGAATCACCTCCAACTTCCATTTAAGAGGAGAAAGAGGGGATGAGGTGGAAGGAGGTACCTGTCTCTGAGCATTCCAGCACAGACATAGGTTATAGGAATTAATCCCAGCCAGCATCATGAACAATGTTTCAGAAAATTCTTTTCCTTTCATAGTAATTCTGTTAGTTGAGTTATCTTGGACTACTTTTAGTTTAGAAAAGAAAAAAAATTATCTTACAGCATTTTGGCCACTACAAAATTTATCCTTTTAAAAGCAATTGGTTAATACTTTGAAAGCTTCTGCATTTGACCTCTGTTCTCAGAGACCGTGAGTTGCTTGACATAAGTGAGCCCTTTTACCCAGGATCTTTCTGACTGCTACCTTGTTAAAATCCGGGTCCTGGTCCCTGTGAGTTTGGGGTTTACTTTGGAGTTGGAGAAGGGAAGTTGGTAGTGTTTCAGGACTCAGGTTTACCAGAAAGGTGATTTTCTGGGTAGAAAACAATTCAAGAACAGCGGCTTTATGCCACATTTTCAAAGGCTGTCTGAACTTTCAGATGTGAGTTTTGAGTCTGTGGGACTGTGGAAATGTCTTCAGTTGCTTTTGTAGAATAGTTTCTTTAAGATTTAGTTTGCCTGTTACTCAGTGCTAGAGCTACAAGAATGCAGGCATTTTAAAGAGAGACTCTCTTGGAGAAACTTAGGAATTTCATGGGCATCTGTAAGGATCCAAATAGGTCACGTGCTGAATTCCACATTAAAGCAAGTGAAAAAAAATCACATGTTGTGGGCATGGCTCACTGCTATTCAACTGAGGCTTCCAACCATGTCATTTTAGCCTAAAAGGGACTCTACAAATGTCAGTCATACAAAAATGAGAACGTTTGGGAGACTTTCTGTTTTCTTCCTTCCACATTTACACTTCAGAGAAACACAAACAGGTACTGCAGAAGTAGTTCAGCAGACTTAGGGCAATTCAACTTCAAATCTGACCTGTGTGTCCATGTGATGTTGTGTGGTCAGTAAAGCTTTGTGATGTGATTTTGTTCTATTTTAAAGAAATTGGCTTTAAAATGGCTCAGTTAGAAAGTACAATCAACATAAATTCCCTTTCCAGTGAATTCAAGTTGTTTTCATGAGCTTTATATATTTGTTTTTCCGATTCAGAATATTATTGCAGAACATTCAGAAAATACCAACACATGGAAACACCCCTCCCCACTGAGCTGTGTAACTTTCTCAATACTGAATCTTTGGACAGCCTGGCCTCTTCCTCTAATCAGAGGTTTGCCTCCTGAGGGTGTTGTGAGGGTTGGATGAGATTTGTCTGTTAAGGGCTTAGCATGATGTCCACCTGTAGTAGGCGCCAAACAAGTCAGCTATTGTTTTCATTCTGTACTCAGCTTCCAAATGCTTGCTGTTGTCTGCAGTGCTCCATTTAGCATCTTAGCACACTTTGCCAAATAGTCCCTTTGGGTAAGTTTCTAGATGTGGATTTGGAAGGTCAGAGATACATATTACATAATTACCCACCAGAAGTGGTCCTGCCTTATACAAGGGTACTTCAAAAAGTTCATGGAAAAGGGCCGGCCTGTGGCTCACTCGGTAGAGTGCGGTGCTGATAACACCAAGGCCACGGGTTCGGATCCCATATAGGGATGGCCGGTTCGCTCACTGGCTGAGCGTGGTGCTGACAACACCAAGTCGAGGGTTAAGATCACCTTACCGGTCATCTTTAAAAAAAAAAAAAGTTCATGGAAAGATTTGTATTATCTTTCAATTCTATTTTTCTGTGAATGTTTTGAAGTACCCTTGTATTCCTACCATCTGTGTGTGACTGCTTATCTTCCTGAACCTTTGCTTGTACTCTGTATCATTAATCATTTTGATTTTTAAAAAATATCTTTTTGATTTCTGTGAAATTGGACAAAAATGATATAATGATATTACAGTTTGCATTTCTTTGATCACTGTTGGGGTTGAATATATAATCATGCATTTATTTGCACCTTACAGTTCTCCCTTTTTTGGGTGTGTGGCTGGCCGCCAGTACAGGGATTGAACCCTAGACCTCGGTATTATTAGCACCGTGCTCTAACCAAATGAGCTGACTGTAAGCCCCATTTCTCCTTTATGAAATGCTTGTTTCTGTCCTCTGTCCACTTTTTCATAGTGTTGCTCTCCTTATTTCTTTTTTTAATCTTATTTCTTATGAGTTCTCTTACATATGAAGAATATTACTTCTATAACCCTTAGTTATATACATTATAAGTATTTCTCCTAGTATGTTTTCTCCTTTAACTTTTATTACATAAGCAATAACCAGATAAAAAAGTATAACATATATTCTTTTGCCATGTACATTTTTATGTTGTTAAACTTATCTGTTCTTCCCTTTGCAATTCTGCTTTAGAAAGACCAAATAGTGCATAATCTCACTTACATGTGGAATCTAAAAATTCATAGAAATAGAGAATGGTGGTTACCGGGAGCTGGGAGTAGGAGGTGGAGGTATGGGGAGATGCTGGTCAAAGTATACACAGTTTCAGTTAGACAGGATAAGTAGGTTAGGGAGATGTGTTGTACAGCATGGTGACTATATTTAATAATAATGTATTGTATACCTGAAAATTGCTAAGAGTAGATCTTAAATGTTCTCATAACAAAAAATAAGTCTGTGAAGCGATAGATATGTTAATTAGCTTGATTTAACCCATTTCACAATATATACATATATCAAAACATTGTGCTTTATTTACGCTAAATATATACAATTTTTATCTGTCAAATATACTTTAATAAAAAAGAAAAGTAAGAAAGAAAGACATGATCTTTCTTGAGCAAATATTTTGCTATGGTTTCTTTAAGCGCTCTGTTTAAAATTTTTTTTTTTTTTTTTGTCTTTTGTCTTTTTTCCGTGTCCGGCAACGGATCGCAAGAATGTGTTTGGAGGTAAAAAGTGAAGTGTAGTGCTATAACTTTTTATTTTCACCAAACGGATAGTCAGTTTCCCCTGAACTGTGTATTAAGAACCATCCCTCCTGTTCCTTCCTCTGTCCTACTCCATGTCAGGGGAGGCATCTACAGGCTCTTGCTCTGTGGCTTCCTACTGGCTATGGCCGAGGGGGAGGCGCCAGAGGGGGGTGTGGGGAGGTGTCTACAGGCTCCTGCTCTATGGCTTCCTATTAGCTATAGCCAAGTGGGGGAGCACCAGCAAGGGATCAAAGAGAGGAGAAGGGTCATTTATTTCCTCACTCCCTCTGCTGCCATTTGCATTCTTGTAGAGAAGGGCCCAGTGGCTTTTGGGTGCACACCTCAGGTAGCCACCTCTCTGGGTTTCCATAATTGCTTTTCCCCCTTGACCCTCCAGCTCTGACGTTTTGATGGCTCTTGGGAGTAACACCCCATTCCTGTGATTTCCTTTAACCTTGCCCACACCACTGTAATAGTCCCTTTAAACTCCCATCAGTCATGTGGTGTGTGTGTGTGTGTGTGTGTGTGTGTGTGTGTGTGTGTGTGTGTGTGTGTGTGTGTGTGTGTGTGCGCGTGCGCGCGCGCACGCGCGTGCCAGCTCTGCCCTGCCTAGACCTGATGGGTGTGCCATCCTTTCCCCTCTTCTATGGTATGCTGGCTTTTGTTATCTACCTGATTCTCCAATCTACTTAGGGCTGTTTCTGATCCATATCTAGTTCCATTGTCTGGTCATTTCTTGCTGTTTAATCCTTGTGCATTTTAACACCAGTTAGAAAAAACATCTTTCTTACTATGCTTTTCCAAACTTTTTTGCCTTTTTTTTCATGTTTCTGCTTCCATATTTTGTCAAGTTCTCCCAAAAATAGTACTCTTGAGTTTTGATTGAAATTTCATTGTATTCATAGATTCATTTGGGCAAAATTGTATCTTTAGCACATTTTCGTCTGTGAACATAATATTTCCAGAGGTTGAGGTCAACAAAAAGCAAGTTTTATGGGGGCAAGGATCATGTCTGTCTTGTTCAAAAATGATGTAATGAATAAATGAAAGGAAGAATGAAAAAATTTATGTCCTTCAGTAAAGTTTAATAGTTGTCTATTTAATTTAATTAATTTTATCCATAGAAATATTGTACTTCTGTTGCTATTGTGAAAGCTATTATTTCCCTGTTATGTATTTCTAACTGATTACTGCTTGTATGAGAAAGGAAGACTATTGACTTTTTTTTTTTACTATTGACTTTTATATGTTAACTTTTTGGCTACTTCAAGTAGTTACTATAAGTAATATCAGTGATAGTAGAAATCCTTGTTTTGTCCCTGATGTATACAGTGGGTTTCAGCAATATAGTTTTTATCATATTAAGTTGTTTAATCTGTCCTAGTTTTCTAAGTTTCAAAAGTCAGTAATACGTTTAGAATTTTATCAAAATCCTCTTTGATATTTATAAGGTGAACATCAGGTTTCTCTTTTAACTTCTTATTATTAGTGTAATTTCTCTCCTTTTTTTTTTTTTATCTTTAGCAACTGGCCAGAAAGGGAATCCAAACCCTTGACCTTGGTGTTATAACACCATGCTCCAACCAACTAAGCTAACAGGACAGCCTTAATTTCTCTCCTTTTAAGAAAATTTTAGGAATTGGCAGGACATGCTGCAATGGAAAGGATACATTTATCCTTGAGCGTCTGTCTCCTGAGCGGTGGCACCTTAACACTGTTCTCAGGGATGTCAGTGGGGGAACCTCACATGAACCTTGTCCTTCAGGTCATCCTCACTTTAATTAATGTCACTGGTCACACAATAAAATTTGGAAACCATTTCAAATTTTACAAATGGCCATTATGTTAGTAGAGGAGCTGATTCCAAATATCACTTTAAATCATGAGGAAGATCTGTGACAGCCTCATACAACAAAAGGAAAAGTTGTATTAAACATGAACAAATTAAAAAAACAGAAGAAACCTTCTGCATATCCTTGGACTCAGTAAGACATCTTCTAGTGATTTATTCTGAGGAATTCATCAGAGGTGTGCACAAGGATGATCGTCACAGTGTTTAATTGTAAAACCTTGGAAACTACTTAAGTGTCATGACAAGTGGGAGTTAAGTAAAATCTTGCTAGTACATAGTAGGTGCTCAGTTTATTTGTTGAATAAATGAATTGTACATTTGTTACATTGGAAGATTATATAACCATTAAAAGTCATGTCTCAGAATATTTTATGACATGAAAAAAGTCTTTTTAAAAAAAGGGCACAGCAGAGTTCTGTTTAGTACCAACCAATTTTTGAAAGACAAGGGTATGTGTTTGGGTGTGAGTGTGTGTCTGCAGTGAACACACAAGAAGCAGGAGGAGCTTTAATGTAGAAAGTGTGTAAAGAGAATGCCCACGGACACTTGGGAAAACATAATTGGTCAATCTGTCTCATCAACTTTCTTGCAGCCAGGGAGAGCTGGCACCTTTGGAGGATGTTCTACAGGAACCATTCTCGATGTCTCCTACACTGCTCTTATTTTTTTTCCTATAATACTTGCCATCTTCTAATATACTATTTAATTTACTTATTTGTTACGCCTATTACTATTGTCTGTCTTCTCTTTTGGGAATATAAGCTTCATGGAAGAAGGATCTTCTTTGTCTGTTTTGTTCACTGATGTAGCCCCAGCACTTTTAACAGTGCCTGGCTCATACATAGCAAATGCCACGAACATTTGTTGAATGACTGAATGAACTCACAGAGCAGTTATCAGACACTGGTTTGTGGACCCAGTTAGGGATTAAGGTGTTTCATTCATGGGAGTGCCCAAACCTGTTCTTACAAAGTTTCCCATCATAGACCTTGAGGATAGCATCGTCATTATAGTCCCCAGACACAGATTTCCTTTGCCAGGAAGACCCCATGCTCAGGTTCTGAGAGCAGCGTAAAGGTGCAGGTCTGAGCCCCAGAGAATCTGTGACGTTTGCCAGAACTTTTTAATGTATAGGTCACTCAGTGGTGGTACAAAGACATTTTTATTTTTTTTTTATTTTATTTTTTTGTGGGAGAAGCTAATGCATTCGATTTTGAACACAGACAAGAGGTCCAATGCACAAGGGGAAGTGTGAGTTACTGTTTATCAGACGTCTTCAGTGCTGGTGTACACCATACATAAAATAACCATAGAAACAAAACAAATAACTTCATTTGATCTCCAGAACAAATCTATGGGATATGTACTGCTTGTGTTTTACAGACCACCTCTCTGCCCCTACAGTTTAATTCCTTTTTTATAGCATATATTCTGGTACAAAGACATTTTTAAATAAAAAATAACTTCAACTTTCCTTTTTACTAAAGCAACAAACACAAAACTTAAAAATCTACATAAAATCAAGAAAATAAATCCTCCCACTCAGAAAAATCACTGCAGTGTAAACTCTCTCACCACTTTTTCTGTATTCTACATGTTCTTTTTTTTAAAGGGGGGGAATTTGACTTATTAGTGTTTTACATATTTGTAGTTGTCGATGACATCTTACAGGATCTTATGTCGTTTTTCTTAAAGGATTTTATCCTGGAACATTACAGTGAAGATAGCTATCTATATGAAGATGAAATAGCAGATCTTATGGATCTGAGACAAGTAAGTTTTTATGCAGCAGAGAGGGGAAGTTGGCTGCTAGTGCTTGTTGAGTCTCCGGAATACCCCGCTGCTGCATGTTTGTAGTCTTATAGAACTGAGGACAGTTGGAGGGAATGGGGTCGGGGGTGGGGCTGTCAGCATTAACCATCCACTTGCCACAGGAAAAAAACATGGAAGAGGAAAGACCCTACCCACTGGCAGGTCTGGGGCTAGATTCCAAGATTCCTGACTTCATTGCAGGCCCTTTCCACCCCTCCTAGAGTTCATGATACCAGCAGCAGGGCCCCACATGCCACGGAGACAGTGAGAGACTCCTGTTCGTGTGTGCAGGGATGGGCTAGCTGCTGTACCCTCAAATGCTCACCTGCTCTCTGCTGCTTTTCCTTTCAGGCTTGTCGCACGCCCAGCCGAGATGAGGCCGGGGTTGAACTGCTGATGACTTACTTCATCCACCTGGGTTTTGTTGAGAGTAGATTCTTCCCACCCACCCGACAGATGGGACTCTTGTTTACCTGGTAGGTGCCTGAGGTTGTACTTTCCCACGTCAGCTAGCTTTGGAGCTTTAGCACCACAGGTGCGCTCCTGTAGTACCACTGCTATGCCCCTTCCATCTGCAGCCCCTCTTTCCTGACTGTTACATTTATACACAAGAGTCTGGAGAGATCTGGATAAATTGGTATCTGTTAATGAAGGGGATTTGACGGGCAGAAGGCTCCAACAGATCATGGCTTCTTGCTTCTCAGAACAAGTGAGCCAAGGAAAAGAGGCATTTTTTTGAGCTCATTGTATTGGGGAAACACTGGGGCTCTGAGGTGGAACTAACAAGAAGCAAGATTTTTGTCCCAGGAGGGTGCGTGCGTGCGTGCGTGTGTGTGTGTGTGTGTGAGAGAGAGAGAGAGAGAGAGAATTGGGCTTTGTCCAGTGACAAAGGTGGCAAACAGAAATAGATCCTATTCTAAAAACCGAAGCAAATCACTTGATCCTGCAGAATTGGTCCTTTTTTTGTTTTTGTTTTTGTTTTTGTTTTTTTCCTCTCCTTTTTTGGCTGCTGGTCAATATGGGGATCTGAAACCTTAACCTTGGTGTTACCAGCACCACGCTCTAACCAAATAACTAACCAGCCAGCCCAGAACTGATATTTTCAAAGATTAGTATAGTTTAAATACTTTGGAGATGCTTTGCCTCCAAAGCACACAGGAGAGTGGATGAAAAGAGAGTAAATCCTAATAGCTAAGAGGCATATTCAGAATTAGATTTTACCACAGCGATGGACAGCGACTGATGCCTTCCTTTTGGAGAAAGAAAGGTGGTTTCTCCCTAGTCTTGAGTTAGGAAGAAGCTCCCTCCCTACCTCCTGGTTGATGTGTGGAAAATCCTAAGTCTTTCAGACTTCAGGAAGAATTACCAGGGTTAGTAATTGCTATATTTCATCTGGGAGAAGCCATATACATACATATGTGTGTACATATGTGTGTGTGTGTGTTAATAGACTTTATTGTTTAGAGCAGTTTTAGGTTCAGAGCAAAACTGAGCAACAAGTACAGAGTTCCCACATACTTCCCGTCCCCATATGTGCTCAACCTCCCCCACTACCGACACCCGCCACCAGGGTGGTACGTTTGTTGCAATCGATGAACCTGCGTTGACACAACATTATCACCCAGAGTCCACAGTTTGCATTAGAGTTCACTCTTGGTGGTGTACGTTCTGTGGGTTTTCACAAATATATAATGACATGTAGTGTCACATAGTCCACCATTGTAGTATTATACAGAGTAGTGTCACTGTCCGAAAAATCCTCTGTGCTTTGCCTGTTCATTTGTTCCTCCCTGCTAACTCCTGGCTACCACAGTTTTGCCTTTCCCAGAACTCCACATAGTTGGGATCATAATATATAGCATTCTCTCTCTCTCTCTCTTTTTTTTTTTTTTTGTGGCTGGCCAGAATGGGGATCCAAACCCTTGACCTTGGTGTTATAACACCACACTCTAACCAACTGAGCTAATGGGCCAGCCCCTATATAGCATTTTCAGATTAGCTTCTTTCACTTAGTAATATACAATTTAAGTTCCCTCCATGTCTTTTCATGGCATGCTAGCTCATTTCTTTTTTTTAGTGCTGAATAATATTCCATTCCCTAGATATACCATTGTTTGTTTATCCATTCACCTATTGAAGGACATCTGGATTGAGAAGCCTTATTTTTGTGTGTTGCTGTGGAGGTCTTTATTCAGTATGATCAGGCCTGTCCTCTTGCTTGGAAACAAAAGCCTCATTGCATGTTCATCTTTGAATTTTATTAAAGAAATGATTTGTCCATTTTCACCCAAAAGTGGCACTCACTAGCCAAGTAAACCATATTCTCAGAGCATGTTTCTTTTAAATAGGTATGACTCCTTCACTGGAGTTCCAGTCAGCCAGCAGAACCTCCATCTGGAGAAGGCCAGCATTCTGTTTAACATCGGAGCCCTTTATACCCAGATCGGGACACGGTGCAACAGGCGGACACAAGCTGGGCTGGAAAGTGCTGTGGATGCCTTCCAGAGAGCTGCAGGTGTGTCTCCTTGAGGGCTGCTGGACAGAGCCTGGGCCCCGTTAGTGGCACCTGGTTGCCCCAGCTGAAGAGGGCCTGGGGAGACCCAGAAACCTGAAAAGACCAGGCTAGTTGCCAGCACTGGTGTAACTTCCCATCCAGAGGCTTGCTTAATGGTATAAACCGGGCCATCTGTCTGGGATGGCTCATGTGCACAGTGAGTCCTGTGGTTAATGGTTAATCTTTTCCAAATGAGGATGGCAGTGAATAACTGTTTCTTTCAACACTGTGCTGAAGAACAGAGTAACTCTTCCCAGATACTGAAAATATAGGCTTTTTTCCTTCTTTTATTAGGTGTACTTTATCAGTGTGTATTACTACCAGTGCCTTTACTTATTTATTTATTTATTTTTTAAAAAGATGACCAGTAAAGGGATTTGACCCTTGACTTGGTGGTGTCAGCACCACGCTAACCCAGTGAGCTAACTGGCCATCCCTATATAGGGATCCAAACCTGTGGCCTTGGTGTTATCAGCACCACACTCTCCCAAGTGCCAGTGCCTTACCTGTGCCTTTATATTGGGCTCATTCTGCCAAGTACACCAACCTGAGGTCATTGTTCTCAGCCCTCTGTCAAGTGACTCAGACAAGGGATGCCAACTAGTTCTGTCACCTTCTGGGACTTCCAAATGCTTTTCCCACTTTAACCTCTTTTACCTAGCCAGTCACCCCTGAAATGTGCCCTAGTATAAACCAGGCAGGGTGGAGGAGAAAAGCAGCTTAAAGCCAACCTGGACAGGACTGGGGTCACCAAACCCTGTGTGATGGGCAACTCTGGCACGGGTCAGGCATGTCCAAGGGTTCTGCCTTGCTCCCCACTAGCAGGGCCTGTGTCTGGGGCAGACTCAGCATAGGGCACAGGACAGACCACAACGGGATCCTCGAACCAGTGCGACAGCATGTTGCCTTCTGTGCTCGTCCTCTTTATTCTGCTTTGGGGTGTAATCACCCCCTGTCCCATCCCCCACTTAGAACCTTTGTGGGTATCTCACTGTACTCTGCAAGGCTATGAAGAACCATAGCTCTACCATTTTGAGTTGTGAAATTTTGGGGATTAAAATGATTGGTCCCTTGGGATGAAAGGAAATGCTAAGGTTCTCTGTGGGAGTCTATTTCTTTCTCTTTAAATCCTTTTCTGGACTCATCTTCCTTGCTGAGGAATCTTAAGCAGGCACATCTGTGACTTGTCTCCAAGATTACAAAGATAAAGTGAAGCTTGAGAACAGAAAGAGTTCGAGGGAACCCCAGAGGGGACCAGACAGCCTGTAGCAGGTGCCGTCCTTCTGCAAGGCGGTTTATGTTGGGCAGCAAAACCGGAGGAACCAGTTGGATGGGATTCATGTCAGAGATTATGTTTCACCTCCAGATTTATTGTCAGTTAATGCTTGTGACAGTTAATTTTCTAAAGTATGAAAAAGTCAGCAGAGGGCTTACAGCATGAAAACTTCCATTCCAATGGGCTACACTGATCTTTCCCAAGGTCCTGGGGAAAAGGACCAGGACCTTCTGAGTGATCCAGAAATCCAGGCCTGATGCGTGAGCTTGTCCCCTGTGAGTCCCTTAGTCATTATGCCTGCTTCCTGTCTTCACCTCCAGCAAAGGGCCTAGTCACAATGGCATTTCTCACAGTTGTCTCAGGTGAATAGAGGGGAGCAGGCTGGTTTCCTTGCTGGATACCTATGTAAATGTTGTGAAAGAGAATTCAATATTTTTTTTAATTGTGGTAAATACACATAACATAAAAGTACGGTTTTAATAATTTTTAAGTGTACAGTATTAAGTACTTCATTAGCATTAAGTATGCTCATATTGCTGTGCAGCCACCACTACCCATCTTCTGAACCTTTTCAGTGTCTCAAACTGAAGCTCTGTCCTCATTAAACAATAACTCCCTCTTCTCCCCTTTCCCCAGTTCTTGGTAACTTCTGTTCTACTTTATGTCCCTATGAATGTGACTATTCCAGGCTCCTGAGCTAAATGGAATCATATAATATTTGTCTATCGATAACTGCCTTATTTCACTTAGAATAATGTCTTTCATCCATGTTGTAGCATGTTTCAGAATTTCAGTCCTTTGTAAGGCTGAAAAATATTCCATTGTATATATACACCACGTTTTATTTATCCATTCATCCAGTGATGGACATTTGGATTATTTCTACCTTTTGGCTGATGTAAATAACGCTGCTGTGAATATAGGTATACAAATATTAGTTAAGTCCCTGCTTTCAGTTCTTTGGGTATATACCTAGGAGTGGAATTGCTAGATCATATGGTAGTTGAGAATCAAATTTGTTTAATGTGCTGTAGGACACCAGTTTTATATTTTTGCTTCTGTCGTTGTCTGTAGCAGCATGGTGAAATAAATATGATCCCCAACTAATGAGCAAACATTTCACAATTCTAGGTGTTTTAAACTACCTGAAAGAAACATTTACTCATACCCCGAGTTATGACATGAGCCCCGCCATGCTCAGCGTGCTTGTCAAAATGATGCTCGCACAAGCCCAAGAAAGCGTGTTTGAGAAAATCAACCTTCCTGGGATCCGGAATGAGTTCTTCATGCTGGTAAAGGTGGCTCAGGAGGCTGCCAAGGTACGACTTCCTGGTTCCTGTGACTTCGGGGGGGTGGACAGGATACATTGGTGCAAGTATACCGGAAGCAGCAGGGGCTTCCCATGGTAACGTGCCCACGACTTGGGCAGTGTGCCTGCCCCGGCCGGGGCTGCTGACTTACATTTTCTTGGCAAGTGTCAGTGCTTCAGGTATGGATCACCAATTCCATCTGCAGCTCAGCCTGAAAACCAGCATAATGACAGTTGCCTGATTCCCCTGTTAACTGTGGTGCTGACTGCACAAGAAGTTACTTGGAGTCATTTTCAGATTCTGGAGTGGCCTCTGGCAGGGGCTGCTGTAGAGATGAAAGGGCTCTTTTTTTGCAGTGGGGTTCATGAGGGACCCTGCTGGGCTCCCCTTTCCCAGTGTCCTTTCCTTTTCAGGTGGGAGAGGTGTACCGGCAGCTGCACACAGCTATGAGCCAGGCACCAGTGAAAGAGAATATCCCCTATTCCTGGGCCAGCCTGGCCTGTGTGAAGGCCCACCACTATGCAGCCCTGTCCCACTACTTCACCGCCACCCTCCTCATCGACCACCAGTGTAAGGCATGGGGCTGGGCAGCTATGGAGTCAGGAAGGGGTTGTGGTCTGGCTGCCTCTGGGGGACTCTGAGCTGAGTGAGAGCTGCCTGCCTATCCTGGAGATGCTCACAGCCTGAAGGCACAGGATGATATGAGAATGTCACGTTGATTCAGGCAGCTGTCACACAGGCCAGGGTAGAATTAGGGGTTATAATAGTCTTACTGTGGGAGGAAGAGGAGATGGCTTTAATTTTATCTGGGATGAAGCAGATGACTTTTCACCTGGAATCTAGAATCTCAGGGGATGCCAAAAACTCAGTCATCAAGATAAATTGCATTTTAAGGTAATATTTTAAATGAATCAAAATTAATGTAAAAAATCTGTAATGAACAAAATTTTACGTAAAGACAGGGATCAGTAATGTCCGTGCTTAGCCATATTGGACCCTGAGGCAGAAAGAAATTTTGATGTTTTATTCATCGTGGGCTTTTTTGCACTAATTTTGATATTTTAAAAATTGCATTCAAGGCCGGCCCGGTGGCGCACTGCTGCAGTGCGCCGCTTGGGAGTGTGGTGGCGCTCCCGCCGAGGGTTCGGATCCCACATATGGACCGGTTCCCGCTCACTGGCTGAGGGAGGTGCGGGTGCGACACGGAGGGTTGCGATCCCGTTGCCGGTCCCGGTCCGGTGCGGGCGCGACACTGAGGGTTGCAATCCATTGCCAGACACGAAAAAAGACAAAAAAAAAAAAAAAAATTGCATTAAAATATTACAGATCTTGGGTACTGAGCTTTTGGCACCTGCTTAATGTTGAGCCCAAGGTGAAAGCCTCATTTTCCTTAGCCTGGACCTGGCTCAGATCTAGAGGTTGGGTGGGAGTTTTGATGTGATTAGTACAAAGCAGCCCCTAGGGTAATTGAAAGGACAGTCTCTGGAGCCAGACTGCTTGGTTCATATCTCAGCTCTGCAACTAACTAGCTGTGTGACCTTGGGCAAGTTACTTGGCTGCTCTGTGCCTCAGTTTTCTCATCTGTAAAATGGAGATATGAAGAGAACCTACCTCACAGGGCTGTAGTTAACAATATGTACCTGTATGCAAAGCTTGTATATAGTACCTTGTGTATATTGTAGGCTCTCTGAAAGTGTTAGTTACTACTAGTACTATATAGTCTGTCAGCAGTATAAGATATGTAAACAGATAGAAATATAGTGCCTCAGTAATTCCTGCAGAGACACAACTGAGGTAGCAGTTGGCCTCCTTAGTGTATTCCTGATGGTTTCTCAGAGGTAGTGACATTTGAATTGGACTTTTCTAGTTGAACAAGGGGGGAAAGGACAGCTAAGAGCAAGCAAAGTGACTGAGCACAGGAACGGAGGCTAAGAGGTAGTGGGGAGTGGCTTGGTGAGGTTTGAAAGGAAGACACCTGCCAGGGAAGCTCAGCTGAAGTTGAAGCTGGGGAGGGCCCTCCTTGCAGGCCTGGAGGCCACCCAGAGGTCCTCAGGCTGGCCGTGATAGGGACAGGGCTATGATAGAAGGTTCTGTGTGGTGGCTGACTTGGAGGATGTAGCATGTGGGGGCCCAGAGCCAAATCATGAGTCCCTGGAGTGTGGATGGCCCCTAGTGAGCAAAGGCTTGGGGGCCGGATTGCTTGAAATGTGTCCAGGGGCAGAAAGGAGACCCATCATCCCAAATGCCTTATAAAACTGGAGAGGAAAGGAGTCTGGAGATGTAGCTGAAAGAGAAATCTCTAAGTGATCTGTAGCGCCATCTCTGGAGCCCATGGATGCATCCTCGAGAGGGGATTTAACCTGTGACTGTCATTGCAGTGAAGCCTGGTGCCGATGAGGACCATCAGGAGAAGTGCCTGTCACAGCTCTATGACCACATGCCAGAGGGGCTGACGCCGTTGGCCACACTGAAAAACAACCAGCAGCGCCGACAGCTGGGTGTGTATCGGCCCTGCTCCTGGAACTGTGCCCCCACTTGGTGCCCAGCTGGTTCTGCTTACAAATAACCTCAAGAAGGGTCCCCAGGGGGGGAAGAGTAGGGTATATTTTCAGGGTTCCCAGAGTGCCTAGGCCTCCTACAGTGGAGCCAGAGCTTTAACAATCTCCCAGCACCCTCAGGGTCCGTGGGCTGGCCCTTGGCCGTCCTAATGTGGAAAGATGCATTTACTGATTTTCTTATGCTTTGTCGCCAAGAGCACCTATGGACTGGTAATGAATTGTTGTGGTTTGGTCTCTGCCATGTCTCAGCATAAATATCCCATTCCATGTGCAAACCTCACTTCATCCACCACCCAAACCTGCCTCCCCTCCCCCATCCCCACGCGCACATGCAGTTTTCCCATCTCAGTGAGGGCAGCTCCGTCCTCCTAGGTGCAGAGGCAGAAACCTCAGGCTCACTTTCCACTCCTGTCTTTCTTCCTCACCCCGCATTTGACTCTCAGATCCTTTGGCTCTGTCTAGTAAACATATCCCAAATCCGGCCACTTCTTACCCTCCCACCCTGGTCAAAGCCATGTGGAGACAGTGCTTACTTACCAAACATTGACTCGCTTAAACCTCGTACGACCCTGACATAGCTCTGGTATGATCCCCATTTTACAGTTGAGCAGACAGAGGCCCAGAGAGGTCACACAGCTCCCTGCTCACAGCTGGACTCCCTGATTCCCTCTCCTCCTTCAGAGTCTGGTCACGGGGGGTCAAATCACATCAGTCCTCTGCTCACACCCTAAAGGCCTCTTATCTCACCCAGAGTAGGAATGAGAGTCCTCACCCCCGCACTTGTCAGGCCCAGCGTGGTCTGTCCCCTCCTCCCCTCTGACCTCATTTCCTCCCCTTCTCTCCCACCCTCACTCCCTCCAGCCACACCCCAGCTCTTGCTGGCCTTGAGTACCCCGGTGGGCTCCTGCCCCGGGGCCTCGGCACCTGCTGTTCATTCTTTGAGGAATGCTTATCTGTCAGATATCCTCCTTCACTTCCTTCAAGACTCTGCTCAAAAGTTCCCTTATCAAAAAAGCCTTCCTTGATGACCCATCGTAGAACAACTCCCATTTCCAATCTTCTCTTGCCACATCTGCCTACCCTGCTTAATTACAACCTTATCACCATATACTCCATTACATATTTCTTTGCTTGTTAATGATCTGTCTTCAGCCACTGGCATGTAAACTCCATGAGTGCAGGGGCAATTTTTTGTTCATTGCTTTATCTCTAGTGCCTAGATCATTTGATAAACATTTATTGAGTGAAGATTTTATAGATACAAGTGAGCAGGGCTGGCTGGTTAGCTCAGGTGGTTAGAGTGTGGTGTTGATAACTCCAGGGTCCAGGTTTTGATCCCTGTTACCAGCCAGCCACCAAAAAGAAAAAATAATAATAATAAAATAGATACAAGTGAGCATATTACACATGCATTTAAGAGGGGCTGACGCTGTCCAGATTCTTTAGAAAAGAGAACGTCCACCTTGGGCTGATCGCAGGCCCTTTGGCTTTCCTTGATGTATTCACGTGTCATGTGGGTGTGGTTTTCCATCTGCAGGAAAGTCCCACCTGCGCCAAGCCATTGCCCATCACGAGGAGTCCATGAGGGAGGCCAACCTGTGCAAGAAGCTGCGCAGCATCGAGGTGCTCCAGGAGGTGCTCTCTGCGGCACACCAGCGCTCGCAGCTCAAGTATGCTGAGCACCAGGAAGATGATGACCTTCTGAACTTGATCGATGCTCCCGACGTTGTTTGTGAGTGGCCAAGACTGTGTGCCTGCTTCTGGGATGCGTGAGAGGCAGGGGCACTCTGGGCAGACACAGCCTGTATTTGCCCATCCTGCAGGGGTCAGGCAAGCCCTCACTGTGTGCTGGGCACTGGGAGGGCTGCACAGGTGAGGGACTAAGGTTCTGCTCTTGCCCTGGAGTTATCATCTCATTCCCAAGCCCAGGGGCTTCTTTATGGTCTTCGTTGCTCCCTGTGCAGCATCTGACTCCCCTCCTGTCCCTCGACACCCCTCCCTTGGCGTCTGGGCACCCTGCCCTCTTGGTTTTCTTCTTGCCTCCCTGAGTCCTTCTCCATCCACTTTGCTGACTGTTCTTCTTGCCCTCCCACACCCCCTCCCAGCATTTTTGAGGGGTCCACTGTTCCTGGTTTGCTTTCTCTAGACCCCTCTCCATAAAGACCTTCTTTGGGGTTTCAGCCATCACTTCTGCTCAGGACACCCCTGGGACTTTACTGTTTGCCTTGGCATCTTTGCTGGGCTCCACACCCCCTCCCACATTTCTAGCTGCCTTGTGGGAAGCTGCACTTTGCTGTCTGTCTTTTACTTCTAGCTCCTTAGGTTGAAAGCCAAATGCATCATATTCCCTATCCTGGGTTTCCTCTTTCCCCCTTTTCTCCATCTTTTATCACGACTACGTTTCTAAGCATCCCCCGGGTGTTGAGCACTGTCGTGGGTTCAGGAACACAGAGGTAAACTGGACGGTTATTGCTGCCCGTGGGGTGGTGGTAGTCTCTTCCGCCAGGGAGGGTGGGAGTGGGAGGGCCTCCCTGAGAGGTAGCTTCACAGTGAGCAATGACTGGATCTTTCTAGAAGTTAGGGGAGGGGGATGGAGGGTGGCCTAATCCAGAGAACCTGCTTTGTCCATTCCCCCCACCCTCCACTCTATTTCCTACCCCTCTGTCCTCGGTCTCTGGAGTTCCATCCTCGTTTTCAGGGACTAGCCCATTAGAGACAGGGCTTTGAACAAGCTAGAGTCCTGGGCTCATCTGTAGTAATGTTAGCTGGTATCTATGGAGCATTTGGGGGTCTGCCAGGCATGGCAGTTAGCACCATATGTATACAAAATCTCATTTGATCCTCCTCCAACAGTGTGAGGGAGGTGCTAGCATTGCCTTCATGTTGAAGATGAGGAAATAAAGGCTTAGAGAGATCAAAGTTCTTGCCCCAGGTGACCAAGCTGGTAGATGGAAGCAGGGGTGGTGCTCAGGGACTCTCCCTGACAGATATTGCAGATACCTCTGTGGCCAGGAGCTAGAAACTTAAACTCCACAGAGGGAGGGACACATGCAGCTCCAGTGGTGGTAACATTGCTCTCACAGCCAATGACGAGTGTGTCCAGGCCCAGCACTGTGTTACGTGGTTTGTAAGAAGCCACAGGGTAATCTTGTGGACAGAGAAGTGTGATCTACCTTGATGATGGTGCCAGACCTCCTATCCTAGTTTTTTTGTTTTATACTGTTGTTCATGTATAATTCGCCTCCTCTGGGGTCCTTTGTGAGAAACTGATGGGCTTGTGGCAAGGCTGGGCCAGAGCTTGCTGTGAAGATGCTGATGGAGATTTGTAGCTATTGAGGGAAGTGATTTGGCAAACCCTCTTCTCACTGTGAAATTCTCACTTCACACATTAATAATGAGAACAGGAAGCTGTGTACTGAGAGACACAGAACTTCTGTAACAGCAACACCTGCAATGTAGGTTAATTCTCAGTAGGGTTTTATGAGTGCCAAATGAGGTCTGCTAGAGTATCAATAAGCTACTTGAAGGTGGGGAGTGTGTCTGTTCGTCACTACTCTATCCCAGCCCCAGGACAGATTATGACTCATAGTATATGCCCAAGTGGGAGGTACAGTTCACCCCTGGCCAGGGCCCTGAGCCATATTCTATCTTCTGTACTGCTTGTCTAAACCAAGGGGAAGGATGGTGACTGGGAGAAAGTGTTGGCTGCTGCTTCCTTTGAAGAAGCTGTGGACATGAGTTTTCAAGGATCACTTTCAAGTACAGAAACATTTATCCTTTAACTTCTGATTTTCTTTTCTAGCTAAAACTGAGCAAGAGGTTGAAATTATATTGCCCCAGTTCTCTAAGGTGACAGCAACAGACTTCTTCCAGAAGCTGGTATGTTGAACACTTATTTTATAAGTGACCTAAGGGGATAGCTTTTAAATTTTGCAAGTATATTATCTTAGTCCATAGGGCTGCTATAACAAAATACCATAAACTGAGTGGTTATAAAAAACAGGAAATTTATTTCTCACTGTTCTGGAAGCTGGGAAGTCCAAGATCATGGCACTGGCAGATTCAGTGTCTGGTGAGGGTCTCCTTTCTGGTTCATAGGTGACACCTTCTCCCCGTATCTTCATATGGTGGGAGAGGCAGATGAGCTCCCTTGGGCCTACTTTATAAGGACACTAATCTCATTCATGAGGGCTTTGCCCCCATGGCCTAATCTCTCAAATGGCCCCACCTCCTAATAATCACACTGGTGATTAGGTTTCAACATACGAATTTTTGGGGAAAACAAACATTCAGACCACAGCATATGTGAAAAGCTATTTTTAGACATTTTATATTTCTTTATATTAGTAATTTTTTAAAGATCATTTTAATTAAGATAATTTCTAAAAGATAATTTTATTTAAAATATATTGGATACGTTAGAGAACATGGCAGTGAATATTCTTGTATGACTTCTGTAGCACATATTACCTTAGATGGCCTCATTAGTCCCTGAACAAGGCCAAGTGAGATCTTCAAGGACAACAGGCAACATTCCCTTTAGCTTTCAAATGTCTGATTCAGCCTTCAAACCCTACACCTAATGATGCTCTCTTCCAAAGGGTCCCTTGTCTGTGTTTTCGGCTAACAAGAGGTTGACACCTCCTCGAAGCATTCACTTTACTGCAGAAGAAGGGGACTTGGGGTTCACCTTGAGAGGGAACAGCCCAGTTCAAATTTACTTCCTGGATCCTAACTGTTCTGCCGCAGTAAGTGTGCACCATTCTGGGTCGGGCGTAAAACCCACTGGCAGCTTCCCACGGAATCAGGCTGGGAAAATACAGAGAAGGCAGCCCAGGCACATATCGTGTCTTGCTGATTGAATTTAGGTTTCGTCTATGTTAAAGGCCTGAGTTTATGTGAAAGCCCTCATGGATGCTACCTGCCCAAAGGGAAAGAGATTTGTTTTTGCTTCCTTAAACCAAACTTAAGCAAATAATCTACTTTGTTAATAAATCTGGGATCTGATTCAGGGATTTGAATGAATAAAATGTTGACCTTTATATAAACCAACTTTTGTAGCTGGCAGGAGCCAAGGAAGGAGATTATATTGTTTCCATTCAAGATGTGGATTGTAAGTGGCTGACAGTGAGTGAGGTTATGAAACTGCTGAAGGGCTTTGGCGAGGACAAGATTGAGATGAAGGTCGTGAGCCTCCTGGATTCCACTTCATCCATGGTGAGCACTGACACCCCCAGGCAGTAATTAGTGGCATGGAGCGAAATTGGTGTGCATTTAGTCCCAGAGGTCTTTCCTAGGCCCTCTGCCTCCTGCCTGCATAACATGGCACAGACGGCTGACTCCTGAGCTGGTAATCACTGGGATTTGCCCACCTTGGGACAAAGCAATAATTGGGAAACTTTTTTTTAATCGTATAGATAAAATAATCAGTTTGTTTTTCTGATTAAATTCTGTTTCATTACAAAAGTAATAAATATTCATGGTAAAGAAATGTTCAAATTATTCAGAAGGGCTTAAGACAGCATGTGAAATGAGAGGTGTGAAGCCTCCACACCTCAGAGACAGTGTTAGCTGTTTCCTGTAAGATCTTGGGAAGTGTTTGGTGCCTCTGCAAGTTCACATGCACAGTTATATCCTTCATTTTTCCCAGATGGGAGGAATCATACCGTGGGTTATCTTCTGCGCTTTGCACACTTAATAACATACCTCAGATACTTCCCTCCATGACAACGTTCATTTATTCACTCAACAAATATTGACTGAGCATCAGCTTTGTGCCAGACACTGCCTTAGGTGATTAGAGCTTGAACTAGACAGATAAGGTCCTGGTCCCCACGAAGCTGGCACTCAATAAGCAAATAAATGGTTGTGATTTTGGTAAGTGCTGTCAAGAAAAGAAAACATGTAACATGGTATAGTGACTCGGGGTGGGGAGAGGCTCCTCTAGACAGGGCTTTAACTGAGATGTGAGTTTTGAGAACCAATGAGCCATTTGAAGAGGTATGAGAAGAACATTCTGAGCAGGGGGACCAACAGGTGCAGAGACCCTGGAGCAGAAATAGCTTCTCCTGCCAGAAGGACAAAAAGTAAGCCTTTCGGCAAGAGCACAACAAGAACTGAGATGGGAGGGAGGCAGGGCCTCTTTGACAGTTGTGGGAGTTTGGAAGCCATTGAACCTTTTAAGAAGGAGAATGACGTGGTAAATGTTTATTTTAGAAGGGTGTCTGCTGCCTGGAGGCTGGCCATGGCAGTCATCCAGGCCAGTGATGTTAGCAGTTTAGGTGAGGGTTTGGCAGTACAGGTGGCAAGAGATGGCGGCACCTGAGACATGTTTTGGAGGTAGAGCTGAAAGGGGTTCATGGATGGTTTGTGTAAAGACGGTGGATGGGGAGATGACACCTCAGATTTTGGCTTGAACAGCTGCATGGGAAGTAGTTCTTTTTCATAACGCTGGGGAACGGGTGGTGAGGAAAGTGGAGGAAAGAGAAAACAGGAGTTGTGTTTTGAGTGTTTCAGATGCCATTAGCCATCCAAACGTAAATGTCAGGTAGGCAGCTAGATGTTCGAATCCTCAGTTAAGGGAGAAGTCAGAGCTAGAAATAAATATTTAAGAGTCATTAGTGGGCTGGCCCGGTGGCGCACTGGAGAGTGCGCCGCTTGAGAGCGTGGCGGTGCTCCCGCCGAGGGTTCAGATCCCATGTGGAGACCGGTTCCCGCTCACTGGCTGAGTGCATTAGCATAGAGATGGTATTTAATGAAGACAAACCCCAAGACACTGCAAACATTTAGATGTTAGAAGAGAAGTAGCTGTAAAGGGAATTGAGAGTTCAGAGAGGTAGGAAAAAAAGCTTCTGAAATCAAGAGAAGAAAATCTTGCAGCGAGTGAATGATCAGTTTTGTTGAATACGGTTTACAGGTGGAGGATGGAGGAGGCTGAGCCATGTCTATTGCACTTGGCAGCAGGACAAAAGAACACCTTTTGTGGTGAGGTGGGAACAGAAATCAGGTTAGAGAGGGCTGGAGAGTGAATGGATTGTATGATTGCATTGATATGAAATGTCAGAGTAGGCAAAGTCATAGAGACAGAAAGTAGATTAATAGTTGCCTGGGGCTGGAATGGGGAGTAACTGCAGAGGGGTCTAGGGTTTCTTTTTGTGGGATGGCAGTGTTCTGAAATTAGTAGTGGTGATGGTTTCACAGCTCTGAATATAGTAAAAACCATTGAATTGTATTAAAAAGTGAATTTTATGCATAGTATATGAATTATATCTCAGTTTAAAAAAGAAGATGAAGTGGAGGGACTCAGATCATCTTGGGAGAAGAGATCATAAGAAATGTTATTTTTAGGGATAAAAATCCATGAGTTTCTGGACAAGTAATCAAGTTCCCAACCGGAAACAGAAAAGAAGTTTGTCCAAAAGGAGGTTAAATAAAAGAGCTGAGCTATGGACTGAAGGGTTGGAGCAGAGGCCACAGGCAGAGGAGGCCTGACTTGATGGAGCAGACCTTGTCTCGAAAAGAGATGGAAAGGCTCATTCAATACTGTGATATCTTTGAACCAGGCCAATGAAGAATCTGATGTGTAGTGGTTAAAAGCAAGGATTCTACACTCAAGACTACCTGGATTTGAATCCTGGCTTTACTGACCTCTAGGTGCATAACCTTAGGCAAGTCAGTGAGTAGCGCTGATCCTCAGGATAAACTGAGTGAGTTTACTTAAAGCCCTTACAATTGTGCCTAACGTGGGATACATTTCAATTCATAGTAGGTATTATAATAATAATAACCATAATTATTGTGTTTATTCTTTTCTCCCATCAAGGACTTTAGATAATAATAATTGAGCACTATTTTCAACTGCTGACCCTTTTCTTCAAACAAAATCAAATAATAACAAATAAAACCTATTGCTCTGGCTGAATGGATTACCCTCTGCCCTTGACTACTCTCTTGACTACAATGGGGATCTCTAGTAATCCTCTGTGGAGCACATTTCTAAAACTGCTGATGGAGTAGTGGAAAGAATCTAAGGCTTGGAATCAAGACCTGGAATCAGGCCCTTAGTGCCATTAATAACCTGTTTGACCTTCTGCAGGTTAATAACCTTCCTGGGCCTGTTTCCTCATCTGTAGAATGTAAAAGTTAGACTAGTGCAGTGATTTCAAATGGTGCTCCATAAAGCCCTAAGAGTTCCAGAGTGGTGCCCTAGGAAGATTTGGGGAGTGGGTGTTGGGGAGCATGCTGGATAGGAAAAATAAATGGAATGGAAGGGGAGGAAGGGAAGATCAGTGAAAGAGAGCAGAGACATTGGGGTGGTCAAAGGAGGCTTTTCATAGAAGGTGGGGTGCATGTGCATGTGTGCATGTAGATACCAGAGCAAGTTTGTGTGCTGATGGGAAAGGTCTGGAGGCAGGAATCCAGGAAGGAGAGGACACCTGGAAGAGAGGAGTCTGATCCAGGCATATGGGAGGGTGTGGTCTTTGGGGACAGATGCAATTAAGTATAAGGCAAGGATATCAGGAGGGCATGTGAGTGGCTTGAGGAGAGAGGAGACAAGGAAATGAAATTACTAGGGAAAGACAGGAGTGCCGGGAAATGGAGTTTGGGTTAGAGGTTTGGGTTCAGGGTTAGAATTTCAAGGGAAGCCTTGGTAAAGTCTCCAGCAATGTGCAGCTGTGTGGATGCAGACCTGGGGGAAGCAGAGGGTAGAGTTTAACTAGAGTTGACATTTTGCGTTAGGAGTATGGAAGGGAATTGAAGGCAGTGCTTATAATGATACACATGAACTCTAAGCAGGTTAAGGTTGGGAAATGTTTGCAGGTCTCAAATCTACATCCAGAATTGCTTTATGAGTATTTTAAATGGTAGTGTGTGTGTCCTGTAAAGCATGGTGGGATTAATGGCCAGTTTTGTAGAAAAGGGAGAGAAATCTTCATCCAAAGGTGTGAAACTTTAAGAGGAGTGTTTTTCAGTAAATATCCCTCCTTTATTATTTCATAATTCAATTCGTCCTAAGATTTATATTATGAGTAATGTACCCAACCACTTTAGATATACTGTATATATATTTCTATAGATGGCCTTAGTGCCTGGAACATAGTAGATATTCAATAAACATGTGGTGAATAAAACAATCTCAATGTTAGGAAAACCTTAGAAGCAGGTAATAACCCACGTGGAAGTGTTTAGATAGTTTCCTCACATTTCCTATATGAGCCCTACATAACCCTTTCAAAATTAGTAGTATATAGTGTTTAGTTGGTGGGTACAGAGTTTCAGTTGGGAAGGTGAAAAGGTTCTGGTGACAAATGGTGACAGTGGTAGTACAACAGTGTGAGTGTACTTAATGCCATGAACTATACACTTAAAAATGGTTAAAATGGTTTGGTTAGAGCATGGTGCAAAAAATGGTTAAAATGGTTTGGTTAGAGCATGGTGCTGACAACACCAAGGTCCAGAGTTGGATCCCTGTACTGTCCAGCCGCCCCCAAAAAACCCCCACTAAAACCTAAAAATGTTTAAAATTGTAAATTTTATGTTACATATTTAGCAGTTTTTTTTAAAAGGGGAAAAAAGTTAGCAGTATCTTCACTGGATTCTATATTATCTTTAAAGAGAATAAAGTTAACCTATACCTAGTGGCATGGATTGAAATCCAGAATCTGTTAAGTGAAGAAAGCAGGGTACAGAATAGTGTTATGTAGTATATTCCTTTTAAGAAGACAAAAAAGTATACTTATGCATATATGTAAATACTTGTATATGCACATTCTCTCTCGAAGTATAACACAGTGGCTACCCTTAGAGGAAGGGCCTGGAAGCCAAGGTGAGAGGGAGACCTGTTGTTCACTCATACTGTTGACCATTATTATGTATTACTTACTCAAATATAATAAGAACCTTAAAAAGTGAGTAGTAGTTCGTGAGTCTAAATTACTACTACTACTAAGTATTCCTTAAAAATTGTCCATTGGTCACCTAAGTTTCAGAATTATATCAACTTAATTTTAGATAGGTTGCTATAGGTGCAGAAAGTGAACCTCAAACTTTGTAATCATTTATCAGATATCTTGAAGATTTCTAACACCCTTTTTCTTCCTTTTCTATGTGCAGCATAATAAGTGTGCCACCTACTCAGTGGGAATGCAGAAAACTTACTCCATGATCTGCTTGGCCATAGATGATGATGATAAAACTGAAAAAACCAAGAAAATTTCAAAAAAGCTTTCCTTTTTGAGTTGGGGCACCAATAAGAACCGACAGAAGTCAGCCAGCACCTTGTGTCTCCCGTCGGTTGGGGTCGTAAGGCCTCAAATCAAGAAGAAGCTCCCTTCTCCTTTCAGCCTTCTCCACTCTGACAGTTTTTTGTACTAACGTGAAGAAACAAATGTTTAGGCCCAGAACGTTTCCGGTGCTGACTAAAATTTCTGCCATAATGGAAAATTTCTAAATATTCTCAAATCCCATTTTCTCAGCAGTAAGTTTTTGCATTTGATGTGTTTTTATGAATGGAAGTAACAGAAACCTCTAGAAATTTGTGGAAAACAAACTTATTTGAAGTGTCACTATATTGCTGCAAGTTATTTATTATATAATGTATTGTAAATAGAACAGTGTTGAAAATATGACTGTTTTTAATGGTTACAATTATGACTTTCAGTCACTATTAAATTGGGGTTACCTATATTAGTACTATTTGTCAAAGTTCCCAGGTTTGGGTAATAACCATTCCTTATAATCTAGAATTCAGATGACCCCTGACTTAAGGCAGGTCAGAAGACTAGGATAGAATTAAATTAACTAAAAACTTCCAAAGAGCTGCTTCCTAATGGGAATTTATTAACTAAAATGACAGGATTTAAATATTTCTACACAATATGAATGCTATTTCCAGATAAACTCTAGTGCCAAATTTGTTTTATTAAATAACAATTTAGGAGCAGCTTTTCTTCTAGTTTGATGTCATTTAAAAGTTGCTAACACAGTGGCAGTGTTAGAGGAAGATGCTGTCTACAAGGTAGATAATATACTGTTTGATACTCAAAACATTTTTCATTTTGTTTAAGTAGAAAGTACATAATTGTATATTTTAAGACTCGGGTAAAAAAGGGGTTTTATATTTTACAAGGTAGAGATGTAAATGATTCAAGTTTAAAGCTCTATTTGACTTTCTTACCAACTGATTTCGCTTGCTATAAGTTGGATGACACAGTGACTAATAAGATTCACTGTTGACATAGTACAAGTTACATAGCTAAAAAATATAGCATGAAATCTAATTCTGAGAATTAACTGGAATTTAAATATTTTCTATTGTGCAATATCTTAAGGGAACCACCTTTGGAAAAGTGTATCCACTGCTCCTTGGGCCAAAGTTCTATAAATATTTAAATAAACACATTCATTTACCTGAAATATATGGCATCTTTAAATGTATTTATTTTTTGAATGGGCAATTGTACCTTTTGATCCCCAGCTCCTGGTTCCCCTCACCGGATGCAGCTGCCCTAACATTTTCTCATGTATCCTCCCGTTCTTGGCGCATACACATACAGGGCTTTCTTTGTTCAGAAGACATACTCAGTGATTATAAATAAACAGTACAGCTACCAAAAAAACAGAAAGAAAGAAAAAGGGCAGGAAGGTTGGAAAGAAGGAACTGCTGTGTAATTGTTTTGTTTTTTTTCTTTTTCCTAGCCAGATGAGGTAAAAATGTATAATTGTTTATTTACCTTGGCAGCAGCCCTCAGAGCAGAGGTATATGAAGACCAGACCTAAAGGGTAGCAGCTCCGACACCAGGAACAAAGGGCTAATGATACACAGTGCTTTATTGTAGGTTTGTTTCCTTTAAATGGTCACATCCACCACTTGAAACTTTAGACCTTTCTGTGATAGAAGGAGGTCAAGGTCACACATTTAAAATCTGCCTTAACCAGCTCTTTGCTGAGAATGAGAGTCCTTGAATTTCTTAGGAATATCCCCACCAGCCCTTTTCATCTCAGCAGAATAAGGACAGTTCCATCTGTGGCCCACTAACTCGAATAAATGCAGACAGCAAGGCACGACAACTTGCAGGCTCCATTCAGGCCTCCCCTCATCTTTCACTAGTTATTGAGAGAGCACATCTTTCTTCTTGGTTCTTAAGTATGAAAACAAAATCCTGTCGTTTGTGGTCTAAAGGAGAAAACGTAGTAGATGTGAGTCCAGCTGTCACCTGGACTGTGTGAAGAAGGCATGGATTTGCTGTGCTACTGTTTGTCCCACAATTGGCTCAAGTTCTTGGATGGAAGCATTACTCAGTTGGTAAATACTCGGAAACTTCTGAAGCAGAAGGGGAGCTTTAACTTTTCCAACTCCTGGAATCTGCTGCACAGTTCGAAGGAGGGATGGCTCAGAGAACAGAGCCCTTTTCTTCCTGAGGAGAGGGTTCTTACTGACCTCTTTGGTTTGCTCTTGAACCTGAACCGGAAATTAAAGGAAAAGTACATGAGCGCCCTCTGGAGGAGTGGCAGTTTTCTTAAAATTTGTTTTATGGAAATTGAGTTTTTCCATTTGGTTCAGCTTGACTTACAGGTCAAACATGTTTTCATACACCATGAATATAATTTTTCAGGTATCAGCAAAATTACTAAAAGATGAACTATATAACTACACAAAGTAAGAGATAAAAATAATTTACAAAAACTTGAACTTTCAGAATGTTTAGAATAAAACTAGTGAGAAAAACACTCTGAGGAATTTGGACACTTTCCTGTGGTACATTAAGAAATATTTCAGTTGTGCAGGATTAAATAATGGCCATACGTACACTGGACTTGCTTCATACAGGACCTGCAGGAAGCTTGCCTATCAAAGGAGAAGCCCAGTCTTCAGTGTGGTGATTATACTAAAGCAGATAATAGCATATATCAAGGGAAGCTAGGAATAGTGACGCAAGGGATGGGGTGAAGAGGGGTCCATGAACCACACTGCTTGCATTTCCAATTGGATTCTCAACCCTCACTGCATGTCAGAGGAGATTCAAAACCACCACACAAAAAATTGATGCTCAGGCCCTATCCTCATGTTCTGATTTTTAATTGGTCTGAGGCAATATATCAATATTTTTAAAAGTTCTCCAGGAAATTCTGATGTATAACCAAGTCGAAAAATCAGTAAGGACAGTGAAGAACTAATATTTTTTTTTTAAATAAGAGAAAAGCATATGAATTTGTTTTTAAGGTATTTTTATATATTCAAAATATTTTAACATTTCCCTACTTGTGGGGTACAATATGTTGTTTCAATACATACGTATACTGCACAATGATTCACTTAGGGTAGATAGCATAGTTTTACACCCAAAAAATAGGGAATGCTTCACGAATTTGCATGTCATTCTTGCCCAAGGGCCATGCTAATCTTCTCTTTATCATTCCAATTTTAGTATATGTGCTGTTGAAGCAAGCATTTCTTTTGTTTTTTAAATAAACATTACAAATTTCACACAGAAGTGCTGATGCTTATCAAATACGTGGCAAAGCAGCTGCTAGTTGACATTTTTACTAGCACAAGTACAGGGTAGTAAATGATGGAGTCATCATGGCTTGGGAGTCTAAAATCAGGTCTCCAACTTGCTCACTTTGTGATACAATTGTGGGTAGCAAGTTCAGCTGGCTGCAGAGGCAGCTTCTGAACTTAAATTCCTCAAGAAAGGTTTTATAAACCAACATAGGAATGACACAGATTGAATTGATGGGTTGCATTTATAGCAAGGGCAGCTGAGAGTGCATAAGGACAGGGCTACTGTGAAGGAGTAGGAATCCATACTTACTAACTGGACAATGAGGCAGGACGCTTCCATCTGGCTGGCCACAGGAAGCAACACCATCCCAAGGTCCAGTACAGTAAACTTCTGAATGGCTGAGAAGTATTGTTCAGTCATCTGTGTTTTTTCAACTACTACAATCCCTTGAAGATGACTGGACTTCAAAGAAAAAAAGACAGTAAACCATTTTGTAACAGAATTCCTTTCAAGGTTAAGAAAGTTATCACTCTGTGCTAGGAATGCCCAATGGTTTCATATAAATTATATCAAGCCATGGCGGCAGGGGTGGGGTGGGGATGGATAAAAGTCAATGTTGCATTTCAGTTTCCTTAATTCAGTACTTACATTTCTAACCCGAACAAGCCTCTTTCTGTAGCCATTTCCTGCCACCAAATCAGCTTCGGTGATATAAAGAATGCAGGATCTGTTAGACAGGTAAAAATCTACTGGTGTCAGGTCTTCCTCAAAAACGAGGTTAATTTTCCCTTAAAATACAGACGAGAAAATGAGTTCCGTGGTCTTTGGATGAAAAGGCCCAGTAGGCAGGACTTTTAAAAACAATGTGTATCGGGAGGAAAGGGCTTACGGCAGAGGGCAGCCCACTGACCTTGCATCCCCTGTGCCAGCTGCGACCCGCGCCATTTCTCATTGGCCACAACGTGCCCAAAAGGCACGTGCACAGGGCCTGTGCCATCGGGGGACTTCCTTTCCATCGGTGGTCTCGATCTAATGAGGGCAATGCAAGACGGCACTTGAGCAGGCTCTCCCGCACATTGCCCACATTCTGCTCGAAGTCCGGGCCTCTTTGGCAGGATCCCGTCTGCAGTATTCTTTCCAACACAAATAATTGCCAAAGTCTACGAACCAGGAGATTCCTGTCCTGGTAGCCGCGTCCCTTATTTTCGTCACCTACCTGGCCCCTGACACTCCAGTTCGGTCCGCACCGTGGCTCCTTAGTCCACTCCAGGGCAGTTGAGTCAATTCCCCAGGGACCCCCACCTCCGCTCCAGTCTGGGGAGTTGCAGTTACATTACCTGCGGTTGCGCCACTTCCGGGTTCACGCCGGCCGCGCTCGCCAGGTTTTTTATTTTGCCCGCCTTCCACCTCCCACAGCGTCGGATAGGCTATGGCGTCCAAGATGGACACCTGAGCTGGCCAATAAGAGAACCGATAGTTCAGACCGTTTCCGCACTGGTGGGATTTGAATGGGTCCCACTGGTTGCCAAGAGCGACGGGTGTGAAAGTATTCTTCTCTCTGATTGGTCGAGGGGAAAACAGAGCCAATGGCAGAGGGAGTTGTTTTGAAGTGTATTGCGAGGAAACAAGCATCTGGCGCCAGGCTTCCGGGAGCGGTCCCAGACTGCGGTGAGACCTGCTGGTAAGTCCAGCCACTGGGCTGGCCAACCCCCAGCAGCCAGGATGCTCCTGGGATATCCGAGAGGACGCAAGAGCCAGTTCGTAAGTAGACACTCGCCCGTCCTGCGCTTTGGCCCCGTGTGGCCGCGAGTTGGGGGTGAAGGGTTGGGGCAGGTTTGGATTTGGCCTGACACTGAGGCAAGGCAGCGGCACCCGAGGCAGTAGTTTTCAGTTCGAGAAGCCCTGATTTTTTTTGCGTTTTAAAGAATTCTCTATCCCAGGGCCGACCACAGTCGGACAGGCATCAGCCTGTCTTCCCTGCAACATTCGCTCCGGTGCCGGGGAATTCACTCCTGCCCGGCACAAACCTGCTCCACGGCAGGATCTCCCCGATAGGGATATTCTTGAATCCTCCCTCCGCCACTCACCACGACAGCAGGTCCCATCGATTCTACCCACTGCATATTTCTGTAAGCTGCTCCCACCCCCTTCCCGGCCTCCAGCATCTACCTAGACTGCCTCCTAGACACCTCCTCACTAGTTTCTCTGCTTCCACTCTGCCCTTCCTCTAGGTCCGTTCTCCACATAGCAGCCAAAGGGATTCTTTTAAAACGCAAATTTGATCATGCCACTGGCCTCATTAGAACCCAGCGTCCTCCCCACTACCACACACACTCTCCAGCCACAACATCCTTCATTCAGGCCTTCACCTGTTCTATTCCTTCTGCCTGGAACGCTTCCCTCCAAATCTTCCTATGGTCACTCTGTCACTGTATGCTCATACTCCCAGTCTCATTCTCTGACCAGCCCTCATGTCTTTCCTACTCACTTCCTCTAGGATCCTGACTACAACAATCTGTTGACACCTAAAATCTTTGGATCCTACCAACTTAATGCTTTTTTTTTTTTTTTTTTTTTTTTGCAGCTGGCCTGTACACCATGCTCCAACCAACTGACCTAACTGGCCAGCCCTGATCCTACCAACTTTTAACTGACCATCCAATCCCTCATGTCCTCATTGCCCTCTTTTTCAGCTCTAAGTCCACCGGCCATCATTATAATTGCTCTGCGCATAAACCCTCAACTCTTTTGCTCCTGTCTCCTTTTTTAATATGTGTTTGGAAAAACCCCAAACCTACTTACATTCAATTCTTCACAGACTTAATTCTTTAAGTGCAGAAAAAGCATTATGATAAGGGCACTCCCGAACTCTGTTTTAAAGCAAGATCAGAGAGCATGTCTGACTTGGCTTCATGCTCTCAGCCTGTGTGACCTGCTGAAGTCATTTTAGACAGGTGGATGTTGAAAAGCAATGAAGACATAATTGAAGCATATTTTTGCATTGCAATTTTGCTAACTAGAATCAGCATGTTTATGGAGTTTTTATTCAAAGCAGTAACATTACTGAGTTCCTACTGTGTGCACAACTAATTGATAGCCTATGGCAACACACTGTCTAGAGGACAGACAGGCCTACAAATAATTCATTATAAAATGGTAAAGCAAGAACTACTGTAGAGGTCTGTACCTGGGGAAGGGCAACTAAGTCAGTCCAGAGAGTTGACCTGAGCCTTAAGGGAAATAAGGAGAATTCTGGGTGGAGAAGACAGCATATACTAAGGCCTGAAAAAGAATGAATTATTTGCTGTTTAGGAAAGGGAAGACAACTCTGAGTGCTAAAACATAGAGAATATGTGCAGGGATGAGGAGGGGTAGCAAGAGATGAATCTGGGTCCATTGGTAGGAACCAACTTACAGCATTGCCTTTCATGTCATGTTGGTCCATTTACCTGTCACCCAGAGAGTGGGGATGCCCATGATGAGGGTATGTTGGGTAGAGATAGGATCATCTTGTGATTTTAAGACTGGAGGTGAGAGGACCATAGTTAGGAAATGATTATAGTGGTACAAGTTAGAAATGTTCAGCATACTATGGGGGATTCACTCTTTTAAAACAGAAACAAAACAAAACTTATGAGTCCTTTTTGGAGGACCTACTAGATGTCAGCCCCTGGGGATTCAAAGGTTAAGAAAGCTCTTTCAAGGCAGACATGTAAACTGTCAAATTGCTTGATGAAGGCAGTGTGGTAGGTGCCACACAGAGGGGTAAACAGAGAGCAGAAGGATTCAGTGGAGATTGCACTGGAACACCAGGTCCTGTGGGTATCATGGAAGTGAAACTGGGGTGGGGATGGGGGCTGTGGGAGACCATTGGAAAGTCTGGCCATCCCTCACACTTGATGGATGCCCCCTGGCTGCGCCTCCCTTCCCTCCCATGTGCCCTGTGCTTACCACTGTCTTTGAAGGGGCCACTTTCAGTGGGTGCTCTTCCGCAGGCCACAGGGTCTCCTCAGTCTGGTATCAGAGCCCTTCAAATGGGAATAATCTCTACTCTCACCTACAGCTCATCATTCTAGCCTCTCCCTCCTGGATGCCTCTGTATTCCAGTGTGAGAAATGCCCTCACCCGTCCTATGCTAAGGGATGGACATGGAGACACGAGGCACAGCAAAGCAAGACTTTGATTACGGCCTTATAAGGTTTGGGTGTCTGAAGGGCAGGCACATGGAAAAGGGCTGTATGTAGCAAGCAATTTGTTCTCTAGTATGCAAGTCCCTCCCCCCACTTCCTCATTGGCTGAGTACTACAGGGTGCACAATCTTCCCAAACGAAGGCTAAAGTTTATTACCCCCTTGTAAAGAATTCCTTTATCTGGGGACTCAGAACAAGCCCGTGAAAAAGGCCACTTAAGTCCTGTGAAAGGAGAAACACCAAAGAATGAAGAAAACAATGGGGGCTAGTAACTAATTACCATCTCAAGGGAGCTCTATCTGTTCAGAGACCCTCGGGGAATGGGCTGGACCAATCAGGTGACTTTTGGGCTGGGCCTGAATCAGTTAAAACACCCTCAGATAAGTTATTTCTGAAAATGAATCACTTAGATCATTTTCTTACATCTAGCAAACTGGAGTACTTACTTCCAGAGCACTGCCACCAGTCTCTTGCTCCATATGATCCTTTGTTCGTGCTGTTCCCTCTTCCTAGAATGCTTTTCCATCACATTTCCAAATGTGGGAGCAGTGGCCGTCTTTGAAGACCCAGGCTAAATGCCTCTGTGATTTTCTCTAAGGGGAACATTTGAGGTTCTGTTGCTGGGCCCCAGACCGGAAAGAGCCCTTCCTACCTCAGCACTTTGTTTTCACCTCTCCTTGGGCACTTTCCATCATTTTGTGTTCTATAAGAACTATTTGGGTGTTTTTCCTCTGTACTCTACCTCCTCAAGGATGAGAACAAGGTTTGTTCATTGCTATCATGGTGTTCTGCCTCTAGTAGGTGTGAGCGAATGGCTGGTGCCCAGAAAGTACGATTGGGCTAGATTCAGAAACTTCTGAGAGACTCCCAGTTATCTAAAGCATATGCCCAGTTATCTAAAGTAACTTTCATTGTATGTAGGAACTAATTTTCATTACCCTCTGCATCTCTCTTTTTTTTAAGTCTTAGGGTATTCAGCTTTATGTCTTTTTTTTTTAAATTTTAACATTTACTTATACATATTTGTGGGGTACAGTGTGTTGTTTCAACACATGCGTACACTGCACAATGGTTCATTTAAGGTAGATAGCATAGTTTTGTACCTGTTAGTCTACCACTTCTCCGCATCACTCCTATTCTGCATCTTTGAGATAAGCTACCTAAAATCTTTATTAAGACCCTTCTAGGTGTAGGGCAATGTGTTCCGTGCTAGAGTTCCAGATGTTTGGAGAACCAAACTTTTTCCCTCTGTTCTCACACTGCAATCAGCATAGAAGACTTCTGTGACCAAATGTGTGGGGGTTGCTTCCCACACAGCAAGCAAGCAGTAAATAAATTCTGCAGTGGATACCAGCTGGGTGTCTTCTAGTTCAATTCAATTCTGACACTACCTGGAGACACAGGTTGAGGACTGACTCAGTTCCCAAGGCTGAGCCCCACTTTCAATGCCAATCACAATGCCTAGGGTATTTTGCCTGTGCTTCTGACCGACTGGCTATAAATTGGGGTTCCCGTAACTCCCTCCTTAGGTTTGATTAATTTGCTAGAGCAGCTCACAAACTCAGGGAAACACTTATGTTTACCAGTTTATTATAAAGGATATTACAAAGGATACAGATGAAGAGATGTTTAGGGTGAGGTTTGGGGGAAGGGGCGTGGAGCTTCCATGCCGTTCCTGGGTATACGACCGTCCAGGAACCCCCAGGTGTTGAGTTCAGCTCTCCCGAAGCTCTCTGGACCCATTCCTCTTGGGCTTTTATGAACACTTCATTACACAGGCCTTCATTATACTTCATTCGGATCCCTGAATCAGTATTCAGTCATTAGCCATTGGTGAGCAACTTTTTTTTTTTTTTTTTCCTTTTTTTGGTCTTTTTCCGTGTCCGGCAACAGATCGCAACCCTCAGTGTCGCCCCCGTACCGGACCGGGACTGGGACCGGCAACGGGATCGCAACCCTCGGTGTTGCTCTCGCGCCTCGCTCAGCCAGTGAGCGGGAACCGGTCTGTATGTGGGATCCGAACCCTTGGCGGGAGCGCCGCCGCGCTTCCCAAGCGGCGCATGTAGCAGTGCGCCACCGGGCCGGCCCATGGTGAGCAACTTAACTTTCAGCTCCTCTCTCCTCCTGGAGGTTGGAGTATGGGGCTGAAAGTCCTAGTCTTCTGATCCTGCCTTGGTCTTTCTGGTGACCAGCCCCCATCCTGAAGCTACCTAGGGGCTGCCAGCCACCAGTCACTCATTAGCATATAAAAAGACACTCATCACTATAAGAATTCCAGGGAGTTTAGGAGTTCTATGCCAGGAAATGGGGATGAAGACCAAATATATATTTCACAATATCACACCAGGGTTAATAAAGATAACAATATCACACCAGGGTTGATAAAGATACCTGCTTCTCAGGAAGTGGCCCTGCTCAATTGGAGGCAGTGTTGTGGGACCATTGGAGGGGCTAGAGGATGACTCTGGGGGATAGTCAGGAGGGAAGGACAGAAGGGCCCTCACAATGGAATGGACCCCTGTGATGGCTCACTCTGGGAGGGTGTACTTGGTTGGCGAATGACGAAAGGAGTGGGGCTCCTGGTGGGGCTGGATCCCTGAGTGGCCAGCATAGGTGTCCTCTTCCAGGCCCTGGTGGTGGTGGTGGTGACAGGATTCAAGTGATCCCCTACATCCCAGTGACCTCTACTGGGTTTCATTTTACAGAAATACATCATCCATGGCCTTCTCCCTGCAGCCAGCATCGCTCCAAAGCCAGCTGTGCCCCGCACGCCTCCTCCCCGCAGCCCCAACCCATCTCCAGAGAGACCAAGGTGAGTCTCAGATGAGCAGGCACTAAGGTCACCCCTGTGCTTGGCCACCAAGTACTGGATCCTAGATCTGTTCAAACTAGCTAGAAAAAAACCACAAGTGGAATGGTTAGAATCATGTCCTTTGAAATATTTACCACAGTTCCATAATGAGGCACTTATTATGGTTTATCTGAGGGGTAAGGGACTTACTTGGGGTCTATTCCCTCCAGATATGAAATTCTCACATTTCATTATTAAATGCAGTTAGTATTTTTCAAAATATAAAGCATTAAATCCTAAGTATTCAGGTTAATAGCACTTTAAAAGGAATTTTGAATTGTGCACATAATTTTATCTTTAAACACAAGTCTATCTTTTAAGAGAACTGCTTTGCCAGAAGGAAGGGAAAGTGTGTTCACTGCTAGGCCTGGGATTCCCCATCCTCCAGTGCTCTGAACACACCAGACAGCCAACTTTCTTTTATTCCTGGCTATACCTGAGACCTCTGCCTGCGCCCTCTAGGATTTTAAACACAGGAGAATTTTATTTTATTTATTTATTCATTTATTTTTGGCAACTCGTGATTCGGGGATCCAAACCCTTGACCTTGGTGTTATAACACCGTAGAATATTTTTAATCCTTAAAAATACACTGACTTGGTTATTAACAGTCAGTCAGGGCTAATTTTATTCAAGAGTGGGACCTTCTTTTTAGTGTTCTTTGAATATTGTATGCCTCCTGATAAAAAAACACTCCAAAATATTTTAGTGTTTGTTTTTCCCTTCAGTACAATCTTGATAACAAGAATAGCAGTTTATTAATATTTGCTTTGTGCCAACTACTCTGGTAAGCACTTAAGAAGCATTGTTTCATTTCATCTTCTCAACCACCCTATGAGAGAGTTCCTGTTGTCATCTCTATTTTGGGCCATACACGAGGCTCAAGTGTTGGTAACTGCTCTGAGTCTCCAGGCTGGCTTTTGAGCAGTGGCATTGCTGGGATGCAAATGTGGGCCTGTCCAGCCCTTCAGCATTTGTGTGAACAATTCTTACATGTGTCTGTGGGACTTAAATGTTGATATAGCAGCAGTAGTACCCACAAGATTATCTCTTCATTTTATAATAAAGCAGAAAAACAAATGAAACATGTCATTTCATGGCAAGCATGCTGTGCACTTATTAGAAAATCTCTCCCTATAGTCTCCTTTGCTTTACAATAATATCCACCTGGATTGTAATCTTTATAACCCAAAACAATCAGGATGGCTGGCTGTGTAGTTCAGTTGGTTAGAGCACAGCCTTATGACACCAGGGTCACAGGTTCAGATCCCTGTACTGGCCAGCTGCAAAAAAAAGAAAGATCAAAATAATCAACATGGCTTTGGCGAAATTTGTCATATTTCTAGCTTTTTTTTATTTCTGAAAAATGACATTCAAATTAACCTTTAATATTATTCCACTTCACGTCTAATGCAAGGACCTTACAGCAATGTACTTCTATTTTCTCCTTTCCATCCTTTGTGCTACTGTTGTCATACATTTTAATTGTATTAGGGTACTTCAAAAAGTTTGAGGAAAAATAGAACTCTCAGTATAGTTTGTATTTTCTACAGTTTTATGTAAGTGGAATTACATAAAACAATTATTCTGGCTTCTTTTATTCATCGTAATTATTTTGAGATTCATTCATGCTGTGAAAATAAATATTTCATCCTTTTTATTGCTGAGTAGTATTCCATTATATGAATATGCCACAGTTTGTTTATCCATTCACCTTTTGATGGATTTAGGTTGTTTCTAATTTTTGGTCACTCGAATAAAGTTGCTGTGAACATTCGCACATGAATCTTTGTTTGGACATGTGCTTTCAATTTCTTTTGGGTAAATATCTAGGAGTGGAATAGCTGGGTCATATTATACTAAGTGGATATTCAGTTTATTAAGAATCTGCCAAACTATTTTCCAAAGTTGTTGTTCCATCTGTATTTCCATCATCAGTATGAGTTCCAGTTGCTCCATATCCTCACCAACACTTGGTGTGGTCAGTCTCTCTCTGTTTGTGGTTTTATAACTTTATTTGATAATCAATGGTCAGTCCACATTAACTATAGGTTTTTGAAAGTTGTGACAGGTAACAAATAAACAGAACTTGTTTGGTGAATCTTCATCTTCATTATGCTTTCTCGACAACCATACACAGACAGAGTATAGGATATTCTTTATTCCTTTGGCAAAGACAGCTTTGTTGAGCCTAGTGTTTAAGAACACATCTGGAGTTCCCATCTCCTTCATGGTAAATTTCCAGACCTCTTTGAGTGCCCAAGCAGCAGTTTCTTGAAGCTCATTCCATGGATGAGCTTGTGAATATTGAGTTGTACTCTCAGGTCACCACCTTATTGATAGCAGAACAGCCCTTCTCACCACCCTTCATTGTAGGAGCCATTCTGCTGGGCCCAGGTTGGAATGAAAGAGCACAAAGGATTATCTCTGTCAGTTTTTATAATTTTGGATATTCAGTGGGTGTGTGGTAGTCTCTCATTGTGTTTTTATTTTGCATTTCTCTAATAACGAATGGTGTTAAGCATCTTTTCACGTGCTTATTTGTCATCTGTGTATCTTCTTTAGTGAAATATCTGTTCAAATCTTTTGCCCATTTAAAAAAACTGGGTTCTTTGTTTTCCTATTATTGCATTCTGAGAGTTCTTTACATATTCTGGATAGAGTCCTTTATCAAATATGTTGTTTGCAAATATTTTTGTCCCATCGTGGCTTCATCTTTCATTCTTTTTTTTTTTTTTTTTTTGGCTGCTCTCTGGTACAGGGATCCAAACTCTTGATCTCGGTGTTATCAGCCCCCCGCCCTACCCATGTGGGCGGCCGGCCTTTTTTTTTTTTTCCTTTTTTTTTTTTTTTTTGGCTGCTCTCTGGTACAGGGATCCAAACTCTTGATCTCGGTGTTATCAGCCCCCCGCCCTACCCATGTGGGCGGCCGGCCTTTTTTTTTTTTTCCTTTTTTTTTTTTTTTTTTTTTTTTTTTTTTTTGGCTGCTCTCTGGTACAGGGATCCAAACTCTTGATCTCGGTGTTATCAGCACCACGCTCTAACCATGTGAGCTGCCAGCCTTTTTTTTTTTTTTCCTTTTTTTCTTCTTTTATTGGTGGCTGGCCAGTACAGGGATTGAAACCTGGACCTTGGTGTTATCAGCACCACACTCTAACCAACTGAGTTAACCAGCAAGTCCTTCATTCTCTTAACAGTGCCTTTCAAAGAGCAGAAGTTCTCAACTTTTATGAAGTCCAACTTGTCAATTTTTTTTATGGATCATGCTTTCAGTATCATATCTAAGAAATCTTTGCCTAACCCAGGGTCACAAAGGTTTTCTCCTGTATTCTAGAAGTTTTATGGTTTTAGGCTTTACATTTAGGTCTGTGATCCATTTGGAGTTAATTTTTGCATATAGTGTGGAGTGTATAGATTCAAGTTCATTTCTTTGCAAATGGATATTCAATTGTTCTAGCACCATTTGATGAAAATGGTATTGTATTAGTTATCTATTGCTGTGTAACAAATTACACCAAAACTTAGTGGTTTAAACATAAAACAATAGTGTTTTTTATCCCACGTCTCATTGATGCTCTTTTTTAAATTATTTTTTTCCCCTTTGTATTTTATTTTGGTTATTTTCTATTGTTTTTGCCTTCAATTTCACTTATCTTTTCTTCTGTAATGTGTAATCTACTGTGAATTCCATCCAGTGTATTTCTGATATTGTTTCATCTTCTGAAGTACACTCTTTTTAATAATCTTTCATGTCTCTACTTAGCTTTATAGAAGACCATCCAAAAGGATTAGAGGAACAGTGCCAGGTGTTTACATACAGCTGAGGACTGTGCCTGTTCCCACTAGGGACACGTTCCATGTCTTTTATCTGCTGTGAATTCCATCCAGTGCATTTCTGGTATTGTTTTCATGTCCTGAAGTACACATCTTTTTTATAATCTTCCGTGTCTCTACTTAGCTTTCCGAACATATGAAATACAGTTATAATAACTGTCTAATTCCATTTCTGCTAACTCTAACACATGTGTTCAATTCTTAGTGGGTTTCAGTAGATTGGTTATTGTCTTAATTATGGGTCAATGTTTTTCTGTCTCTTTGCATGCCTGGTTGTTTTTGATTGGATACACCATGTTACTGTGAATTTTACCTTATTGAGTGCTGGATATTTTCGTATTCCTATAAATCTTCTTGAACTTTGTTCCAGGATGCAGTTAAGTTACCTGGAAATAGTTTGATGGTTTTAGTCTTGCTTTTATGATTTGTTACGTGGGGTCTGGAGTAGTGCTCGACTAGGGCTCATTATTCCCCACTACTGGTGCCAGGCCTTTCTGAGTATTGTATCCAACGTCTGGTGAATGATGTTTTTCTAGTCTGCCTGATGGGAACAGGCACTGTCCTCAGCTGTGTGTAAGCACCTGGCACTGTTCCTCTAATCCTTTTGGATGGTTCTTCTTTTAACCTTGGATAATTTCCTCACATGGGTGTGCTAAAGAGTATTCTGCTGAACACTAAGATCTCTGGGGTTCTCTAGGCATCTCTCTCCCTTCCAGTACTCTGTCATGCATATTCTACCTGCCTTAGTGCTGGACTCTCAGCTCCATCTCCACAACTCAGGGAGCCTGCCTGGCTTCACCTCAGTTCCTCCTCCCTGTGCTGTGACCTGGAAGTCCTCCCAGGCAGTGAGCTGGGGCAATTGTGGGTCTGTTGTTTTGTTTTGCTTTTTTAGGCAAGAGGGTAAATCTGTTACTCTGTCTTTCCTATAACATATTTTGGAATAATTTGCAGGTATTTAAAAAATGTTGTCTTAAATCTTTTATATCTTTTTATATCTCCTTTTTTCCTTCCTTCTGATCTTTCTCTCTTTCTTTCTCTTTTTTTTTTTTTGGCAGCTGGCTGGTATAGGGATCCAACCCTGGACTTTGGTGTTATCAGCACCACACTTGATCTTTCATTTCAATAAGAAAACTAGTTGAATAGGGGCTTTGGCGCTTGACTGCCTGGATTAGAGACCTGGTTCCACCTCCTATTGGCTAGGAAATCTTTACAAGCCATTTGATTTCTGTGAAAAATGGGATGACAATAATATCAATTTATACAGTTGATGTGAGAATCAAATGAGATTGTCTGATGGCACATAGTAGACTACGGGAATGTGATCAGTAGATATTCAGGAAACACTGTAGAACAGAAGGCAAACCTTGATCAATTCATGTATCTTGTCGTTCAGTCTTCACCTTGAGTGTTCATGTCTCACTGTCCCAATGGGATGTTTTGTCCATAGATCTGCGCTGGCTGCAGCCATTCTGGCAACCACATTGACTGGGCAGACTGTTGCCATTCCACAGCCTCACTGGAGATCCCGGTCTGAGAGTGACAGGACCTATGTTGAAAAGGAAAAGGACAGCTTCATCGAGCCCTATGACACCACCTCAGAGCTGAAGTCTCGGTAGGGACTGTATCACTGGCTCTGCTTCCTCTCAGGATGGAAGAGGAGCATCTCAGTATGGTCTCTGTGTATGTGTGCAGGTGTAATGTGTGTGTGCACATTTATCTATATGACTAGTGTCTTATTCGTCAGGTTTTTATCACTAGTGTTAAAGGGACACTGTCCAGGGACATTAATTGCTCTTGGATCAGAATTTTCTCCAGAGTGGATCTTGTTAAATTATGACTTATAAGACACCGGTCGTTTTCATGGCAGCACAGAGCCAATTAATTCAGCGTTGCTTTTAGCCCTTAGTAGGATTCTCTGTGCCACAACCTAAACAGTGGGAGTTGTCACTCATCACTTCTCATGTACCTCTAACATTCATGTTATTTTCCTTCTGTGGCACCTGTAATATAAAATTTTTCCTTTATTGCTTGAGCTGGGTTTGAGGGCTAGGGGTTCAGGAAGGTTTCCTCCTGTGGAGGACAGGAGGGGGGGAGAGCTTAGGGATGTACAGAAATCAACTAGGAAGAACTCGAGTGTTGAGGGATGGTCATTGTGGGGCTGGGATGAGCTTTCCAGATGGAGAGGAGGGAGTATGAGACGTGAGTACTGAAGGAAGATATGTGTGTTTGGGAGGACCTAATGAGGTGGAGAGTGATTCAAGATGGGGTTGGAGGTGTGGGCAGGGCCTAGGCCAGGGATGCCTTTGGTGTCCTGCTCTGAGACTTGTTAACTCCCCTAGCAGTGGCAGGAAGACACTGAAGAGCTTTGAGGGCTCATGGGGTGGGGTGGGGATACATGATCAAATATGCCTTTTTAACTGTCATGTATATTCAATTTTGGGGTTTTTTTTGCTTTCTGATATATCAAATATTCTTTATTTTTTACACAGTAAAATCTATCAATTTTTTCCCTTACTGTTTCTGTCATTATTGTCGAATTTAGTAAGACCTTTCCTACTACAGTATTATATAAATACTTAATGTATTTCCCTCTAGGATATGTTTTTATTTTTTTGTTTTTACATTTAAATCTTGATTCCATTCTGAGATGTTTGAATATAGCCTGTTTTTCTCCTGGTAAGAGTTATATTTTGGCTGAATAAGAATTAAAGATGAGGAAATGGTTCCAAAATTCATTGGAAAGAATAAGCACAAAAGACCATCAGATGAAATCTGGGAAGGAACAGTACCAGCCCAGGGGGAAGGCTGGATTAGCCCCATCATATTTTAAAACATATAATTAAAGTAGTGAAAATAGTGTAGGACTGGTTCAGTGATAGAGAGGTGCCTGTGAATATGCTGAGGTGAACTTAGCATTTGCAAGCATATCGAGTCTTTAATACAGGCAGCCCCACAGATGAAAAGGGGAAGGAAAGATTCAACAGTACAAGCAATATTAGAAAACAAGTTAGCTTTGAGCCTTGCCTAAGTCACACGCCAAAATAAATTCCTATTGAATGAAAGGATTATTCTGTATATATGAAAACATAAATAAGACCATGAAATCCAGTATCCAGTCATCAGACCTCTCGGGGAGATGACGCTATTTACTTCTAAGCTAAGAATTTAGAAGATAAAAAAATTTTTAAACTATCTATATATTAAAAATTTACATAGCCAAAATAAAATTAATTGAATAGGAAAAATATTTACAGTAAAAATGAAGTCAGATTTTTCATTTTATTAGATAAAAAAGTTAATTTCGAGTTGTAATGGACCTGCTGGAAGCAAAATGGACAAAGGCCATGAACAGACAATTCAAAATATAGGAATTATAACTCGAACACAAATATGTGGAAAAATATTGTCTCAGTAAGAAATGCAAATTTAGACAGTGAGATTTAAATTGTTTTGGCAAGTTTTAGAAAATTATTTATAATGTAGTTGCGGGGGAAATGATTTGTGAAATGATTTTGTGCAATATGAACGTAGACACAAAATGTTTGTACCATTACACTCAACAATGTACTGTATGGTGGCTTGTTTTATAGAACTAATCCTAAATACAGAAGAGATTATCTGCACGTAGATGTTCATTACAAGATTATTTATAATAGTGAAAAGTGGAGGGGAAAAAAAAATCCCACCAAAGTAAGGGTAATATCTGACTAAACTGCTATATATACTTAATTCCCACATTTTAAAATGTTGACTATAAAAATTTATTAATAACAAGGCAAATTGTATACATATACAGTGATAATTATAAAGACAGAAAAAAATAGAAGGAAATGCTGAGTATACAAAGAGATAGGATAATGGACGATTTAATCTTTTAGCTTCTATACACAGCTGACACTTGAACAACACAAGTTTAAACTATGCCGGTCCACTTATGTGCAATTTTTTTCAATAAATACTGTATAGCACTGTAAAAGTATTTTCTCTTCCTTATGATTTTCTTTTCTCTAGCTTAGTTTATTGTAAGAATACAGTATATAAAATATGTGTTAATCAAGTGTTTGTGTTATAGGCTGTAATTAAGTTTTGGGGGAGTCAAGAGTTATACATGGATTTTTGACTGCGTGGGGGGTCAGTGTCCCTAATCCCTGCATTGTTCAAGGGTCAACTGTCTCTGTGATGTATTTATAATACTTTTATAGTAGGCTGGGAGGCATTGCATTTAAAACACATATATATCAATGTCAAGTGTTAGGTTTATTTGCTTTATTCTTCAATGTTCTAATACAGACCAAATTGGCAGAGTGAGATGGGAAGAAGAACTTCTTTACCATCCTTTGAAATGCTGGGCTATGGGGATGAAGAGGACGCTGAAACACCATGGTCATCCAGCTACAAGGAGTCGGGGGATGTCAGTGCCCAGAAAGAAGAGGGAGGTGGCAGTGATGCTGAGTATGCTGGGCCACGCAGAGATCAGGTGTTTTTCAAATTCCAAAGTTTCTTCTCGATATTCACCTTGACCTTAACTTACAGTAAATTCCATACAGTGTAATAGTAAAGACTTTCTTTTCTCTATTTTGCATTTGATAGCTTTTGCTTTGGGGCTTATTTTTTAAATGTGTCCAGCCTTATTTCTATCTGATTAGGCTAAAATTTAAACTTCCTTCCTTTTAAAGACAGAGATAAACATCTTCACGTTCTTGATATAGATTTCCATCTGAAGCTAGTAATCCTGCTTTTTAGCCACAAAAGTTCGTTTACCTATCACTTTTCCACTATCAGTCTGCACATCTCAACCTCTGTTCAGGTTCGTGCCTGACAAGAGGAATATCGTCACGTCTCTCTCAGTAGTAGCTGATGTTCCTTGAGTGCTTACCATGTGTGCATTTCTGTTTGTAGCTCTTTCATGCATTCCTCTTAGCTGGCCTCCCACTAACTCTGTGAGGGGTTCCATTCACTGCCCAGAGGAGCCAAGGTCCAGAGAGGCTGAAGGAGCCGAGCTTCTCCACTTCCAGCTGCTCTACTAATCCTGATTTTTAAATCATGCTCCCAGAGTTTTGGAAACTGGATAGTGCCATTTCTTTAATGGTAAAAGATAGCACCATAATCTCTTTGTCCTTTCTCTTTTCACCATCGCTGTAACATGTATTATTCATAGTGACAGTACATATATATTCACAGCATCAGGCTATACTCATACTGATTATATTTATATTGATTATCCTATACTATATTAAATCACATTTTAAGTGGTCTTAGGGAGCTTATTTTGAGGAATCCTTATATGGGTATTTCATGATAACTGTATACATTACAGACTTTACCAGGCACAATTAGGTTTCTGTACAGCAAGGAGTTCTGGAACAGACAGGTGCTGTAGAGTCCTCGAAGGCTTCAGTGAAGTCCCTCTGCTCCCCGTCTGCACACTTTCTGGCTAGTTCCACACTAATGTTACAGATAGAGTTGTGTCACTCAACTTCTAGAAGAGAAGCTTGCAACCACGTTTCCCTCAGAACAAAGAGATATAGTGATCCATGCAGCCTCCTTTGTTGTTCAAAGAACAAATATTATATTTTTTTAGGCAAGTCTGTCATGGTGGCTCTAGGACCCATGTGTAGTAAAAAAAAATTTTTTTTTTAACTTGAAAAGTAGAAAATACGAGGGTGCTTCAAAAAGATCATGTAAAGATTTGTATTCTTTTTTTTTTTTCCCGGTGGCTGGCCAGCGTGGGAATCCAAACCCTTGACCCCTTGACTTTGGTGTTACCAACACTGTGCTCTAATCAACTGAGCTAAATGGCCAGTCTCATCTTATTTTTTAATTCTATCTTTCCATGAACTTTTTTTTTTTTTTTTTTTTTGTGGACCGGCTGCACCGCACTCAGCCAGTGAGCGCACCGGCCATCCCTATATAGGATCCGAACCTGTGGTGGGAGCACTGCTGCGCTCCCAGTGCCGCACTCTCCTGAGTGCGCCACAGGGTCGGCCCTCCATGAACTTTTCGAAGTACCCTTCTAAGATAACACATTAGTGTTTCCATTCTTCAGAAGAAACAAATAGTGACTTTTTTTTCTGCTTGCTTCAGATTTTTTTTTTTAAATAAAAGAAACAAAATGTTCCAGTTCGGGTTGAAGTCATCTTTGTCTCCCATCCCTACTCCCTTGGAAGCCCATCTTTTCTTCGATTTAGAGTACTCTCCCCCCTTTTTTTGGCAGCTGGCCAGCAGAGGCATCTGAACCCTTGACCTTGGTATTATAACACCACGTTCTAACCAACTGAGCTAACAGGTCAGGCTGGAGTACATTCTTTTTTTTCCTTTTTTTGTCTTTTTTCGTGTCCGGCAATGGGATCGCAACCCTCGGTGTCGCGCCCGCACCTCGCTCAGCCAGTGAGCGGGAACCGGTCTGTATGTGGGATCCGAATCCGCGGCGGGAGTGCCGCCGCGCTCCCAAGCGGCGCACTGTAGCAGTGCGCCACCGGGCCGGCCCCTGGAGTACATTCTTGAAGTCTGTTTCTTTATTCTTTTACTACAAGTAAGTGTGAGTAAACAAATATAGTACTAGCACCTTTAGGTTGTCCTACTGAACCGATCATTCCACCTCTCTGCTTCTTAACTCAGCATCGTAGTTCTGAGACTGATCCATGTTAATTTATTTATCTGTTCACCTATTGATGAACACCGAGGTGGTTTCCTTGCACATGTTTGAGACATGTACCTCTGTGTGCTGGATCACACTAGATACTGCCAAATTGTCCTAAAAGCAGTTTTTCCCTTTTATTTTCACCCCCAGCAGTGTATGTGTGCCTGTCTCCATGTTTCTGTACATCCCAGCCTGTAGGAAAACCCTTCCCAACTCAACCCAGAAACCAGAGGTTGCGTATTAGTAACTGATAGCAATTGAAAGGTCTCATCATAACCTGCACATTGTCCTGGCCAAGAGCAGATGGCATGAATGAAAGGTCCCTTAAACTAGAAAGGGATTTCAATTTGCCATAGCTTATTAGTTTGTTTTTTGTTTTTGGTAGAGGAGATAATAGGAAGAGGAGGACATATTGACCTTTTCTGAGCATTTAATATATGCTGGGCAGTATATTATATGTACAATCTCATTTACTTCACACCCCTGGGGATAAGTATGTAAAGAAACAGGAAATAGCTTGCCCAAGGTCACCCAACCAGCCGTCCAGTGGCAGAGGCAGGATTCAGACCAGGGTGACTAGTCTTCCCTGTTTAGAATTAGAAATTGTGTTTACAGTCCTCATGCCTATCAAGAATATCTCTTAGACATAAGACTTTTTTTTCAAAACTGACCAAGTATTTCTAAATTTATAATATGATTAAAATAGCTCCCTTTGATAGCTGGTAGAACAGAGGACTGTAATATGATTAAAATATATATCTGTGTAAAACTGCATGAGTGGGCCATAGAGAACTGCTTATTTAATCATTAGATGGTACTGGCTGTGATGGTGATATTGCCTATGGAGGTACGTTTTAATTTAAAAAAAAGGAAAAGGAAAACTGCCTTCCCTATATTTACTATAGACATTTATAATCTCAGGTGAATGATTTATAATTTTATCCTTTTTATAAGGTCATTCATACTTCCCTTGAAGCAAGTAATAATCAAAACTATTAAAATAAGGCAATATACCGTCCCAAATTAGGCAATTTGGACATAAGTCTCATGCCTCTGTCTGTATTTTAGGATAGTTTGGGCAAACATCTTCATGTGAAGTGTGCACCTTCTCGGAAATGGCCTAACAAATAGAAAGTCTTGTTTTCAGCAGTTTTCTTGACTCCACCCAAGAGTCAGGCTGGAGGGAAAGTGGGGTTTTGAATTTGTGGTCAGTTCACAGGATGTTAGAGCCCAGTGGATGGAGCAGTGCCATGGACATTCAAAGACCTGAGTTCAAGTCCCAGCTTCTTTACCTCCCAGTTGTGTGACTTAGGTGAGGCAGGTAAGCTTTCTGCACTGAGTTTCTTCAAACAGTAAAGGACTGTCTTGGGGAAGACTGTCTTTGGATAGGTAAATAATTCAACATGTATTTATTGAGCATTGTGCTAGGTGCTAGGGAGTCGGCGTGAGCAAGACAGAGTTCATAGTCTGTGCTGTCTTTAAGTTCTTTGAGGGTATAGGTTGGATTCTGGACAGTAAAGGTGGGCTCTGCACAAGTGTCTCCTTTCAGCTTCTGCTTCCTACCTTCTGCCCTGTGGGAATGACCAGACTTCTCCTCGGCCATCTACACCATTGGTGACACCGCTCCCATCAGAGGATCACTGTGGACCTTTATAACTGTGACAATGTTATTTTGACACAATGCCATTTGCATGCTGCCTGAGGTCTGGCAGCTCCTAGCATTCTCTCTTTGTTCCAAACTTCATAGATTTGGTAGTTGTTATCTCGTTCGTGGTTTGGGATTATGGGTATTGACTTAGCTCTTATTTCTTTTTTCTATTCTTTGATTGATTTCAATGGGTTTTAAGGGAGGAAAGTATAGTCTAAATGCCTTATTATCATATTCAAACAGAAATCACCAATAGGATATTATTGAAGCCCTTCTGTCATACATCCTTACCGTTGTTGTGTTTCTGCATCTGCAGAGCATCATGTCCTAAAATACCATATGTTCATTCATTTACTCATTTGTCCAACCAACTACTGACAAACTGATATTTCAGTGCATGCCATATGCCCAGATGCAGACTCAGAGGATGGGCAAACCAGTTCTCTCTAGAAATTTGTGCAGGCCAAAGAATGGTGGAGATTCTTTTATTGTTGCTGCTGCTGAGGATTAGAAATGTCCTCTTTTTCTCTCCACAGTTTAACATTTTTAATTTCTTTCAAATTTTCTTTTTGTCACACAAGTAATACGTGAATAGACATTTCTTATAAAAACTTTGATATTGTGCATAAGCAAAAGTCCTCCCTGAAACCCTGTTTTTCCTATTCCAGTCCTCCTCCTCTCTCCAGGAGAAATCTCTATTGTCAGTTTGGTGTGTGTATCATTTTTTTGGCTGCAAATAATGGAATACACAAACATAAGGCTTAAATAATAGACATTTGACTCTCTCACAAAATAAGGTCAGGAGGTAAGGGATTACAGAATTGTTGCAGCTGCTGTGAAGGCTACCACCTGAGATTCCCTTGGCCTTCTCTTCATGGTCACGAGTCACAGCAGGTCCTGATCCCAAAGCAGAAAGGAAGAGGTGGGGGAAGGTCTTTCTTGGCAGGCTGCTGTGTTTTTATTAGGGAGAAAAATTTTTCCTGGAATCTCCCAGTAGGATGCTCATTGGTCACACCCATACCTTGACTAACCACTGGTTAAAAGGAAGAGGATTATTACCATGAGTCATACCCTAGGGCTGAGCCCATTTGCACCAAGCAAAATCAGGATTCTCTTAGTGAGATAGAAACACGGGGACTGGCGGCTGGGTGGGCAACCCAGCAGAGCTCGCCACGGCATGAGCCCTTCTGCAGTCTCTCTGTCTGCGTTTACATATATACATCCATGTGCAGATAGAAATTTCCACTGTTCATTTGTGTGTGTGTAGATTATTGACTCTACCACCACGAACACCTCTGCATGAGCCTGCTTCCTATTGGTGGCAGTAGAAGGCCAGGATAGCAAGTAAGCCAGCAAGCCATCACTCCAGCCAATCTGCAGAAGCCACCAAGAGAGTGAGCTCTGCCAACTTCCAGTGTTGGGGCCTCCTCCATGCACAAGTAAAGAAGCATAGATTTACAAACCTTAGTTTTATTTATCTGAATGTGAACAAGTCAGGGGAGGTCCCACATGTTGGACCCACAAAGGTCCCAGCACAGACCCAAGCAGTCCTTCTACCTTACAAATCCAAACTGTCCCTTCCAGAGTTAGTCCTTGGTTCACTGCACATTCTTATCACATTCTTGCCCAGACTTTTCCCCAAGGTGCAGCTAGCTGGACCCGTATGTCATTCCTCCTCTAATGACAGTAAAATGCATTTTGGGTAGAGTTCTCATGTTAGCATCACTGATGTGAGGAGAGGTACCTGGGAAAGGGCCAATGCATCACCAGGGCTAATCACTGCTGCTTTTTCCGTCATCTTACTCTGAGTCTTCTCATCAACTTCACATTTTCTTGACAATACTGAGTAGCTTAATATCTGACAGGGTGAACAAGGCAGTTTGTTTCTGGGAGATAAAAAGGAAGAGGTTATTTATTTTCTTTTATTTCAAATGATGAGTAGATTGGGAGACCTATCTGCTGTTCCTCCTGAGCCAGGTCACCTTGAAGCCATCTATACAGAGCCTGGTGGACCTAGTGACCTTAGCTCTTGGCTCTGAAATGCCCCTTCTCGTGGGCATCTTGCTGGTCCCTGCCACCACCTTCCTGCCAGCCTTGGCAACAGCCCTTCCATTGCCTGCAACATGACACAGCTGAACCAAGGTGATCACAAAAGCAAGATTTTACTGAAGAATCAGAGTAGCAGAAGAGAGGCCAACCCAGAGAGCACCACTCATAGTTTACCACCACTCTTCCTCTTGGGCAGCCTCTGTCTCTGCTGCCTAGAGCCCTGCTAGTAGGATTGTCTCCTTGTCAGAGTTGGTCCCATACCTAGCACACAGGTCTCCAAGGGACAGCTCCATGGTCTGCCACCTTCATGATACCTATGTAGGAGCTGCTCACAGACAGTAGAGGTTCCATTCCAGCAGGAAATGACATTTACAGTGGACTCACATGGTCAGCAAACATAACGGGCCTCAATCCCAAACAATTGCTTGGATGAGGGCTCTCCAGGGCAGATCTGCAATTCTTATCCCACAGACACTAATAAATGTGTCATTGCTGGGGTAGGATGGTATTGGGTGCTATACAGAGTAGGCCAGAGGCAGCCCCTTTTGCTGGGTTGGTGCCTGGCAGGAAGGAGGAAGGAATACTGCCCGGGCTGCTTGGATGCGATATGAAGCTCTCCATAGCCTAAGCATAACTTGGATGGTGTTGCCTTTGCCATCTGGGCTTTTCCTGAGGGCCTGGAAGTTTCATCCAGCTCCACCACGTGTGGCCCTTTCGTGTCTCAGTAAGGAAAGCAGCTGAGGTGCTCAGGGAGGAGGGTAGTAGTGGGGTAGGTAAGAAATAAGACATTTGAGTTTATTAGGAGGACATTTTATACAGGTAACATTTATCACGTTTTTTCCTTCATTTTTTGTAACAAAAGGTGCCATTGTCACATGGGATAGACACTGACGATGATGAAAATATTTCTGAGCAAGATGAGTTTCCAGGCTCACCTCTGATACTACAGCATACACAACAAAAAGGTAAAAAAAAAAAAAAAAACTTTATAAAATAATATGACAACACTTTGTGGCAATGAATATTGGTTACTTATAGCCATTGCACAAGTGGCTTCATAATTTTTAAGTAGGAATTTACCTAAAATTTATTTTCCCTGAAGATAAGTTATTCCACAATCAATTTCCTGGATGTTAGGCTGTCATTAAAGTATGAAGTGCTCATTCTTGAGCCCCTTTTGTCTGTTCTCTGAGCCGTGAGAGGAACTTTATAAAATATGACAACACTTTGTGGCAATGAATATTGGTTACTTATAGCCATTGCACAAGTGGCTTCATAATTTTTAAGTAGGAATTTACCTAAAATTTATTTTCCCTGAAGATAAGTTATTCCACAATCAATTTCCTGGATGTTAGGCTGTCATTAAAGTATGAAGTGCTCATTCTTGAGCCCCTTTTGTCTGTTCTCTGAGCCGTGAGAGGACACATGGGGACTAGAGTTCTGACCCACGCTGTGAAGCCCAACACACTCCTCTCCCTGCGCCTCCTGGTGCCTGTTGCTCCCTGGAATGGACGAGTGATCTGTCTAGTTTACCACGCTAGCCCCAGTGTCTGGGGCAGGGCCTGGCCCACAGTGGGGCATCAGTAAAGATGGCTTTATGATGGATAAATGGGTGCGGACATGTTTCCAATTCAGTTCTGTCACTGTGCAGCACCAACTGTATTTATATATTTTATTTGGCACAATTAGAGAATCTGGTGCATTATAGCAAAGGGAGGAACAGTTTTCAGTTTCCTCAGAGGGGGCTTACGTTTGAGAAGTAAGAAAGACAACGTGGCATACAGTGGGCAACCAATGACTGCTTTGTCAGGACCCTCAGAGTTGCTTGGGCTCAGGGAATGTTTACCTAAATCAGTCCACAAAGTGACTGCCTGGAAAGCAGAATGCCAGCCTAGTAACACCTGGGCCAGAAAATACCTACTGGTTAGTTGCCAAATTTTTTAGTATTCAATTCACGTAAAAAGTGTATCTCTTTTTTAATTATAGAAGAAATACTTTCTTGCTGTAAAAAAATAAATAAAACTCAAATACAGAAGTATCTAAAGCTAGGGCCGGCCCGGTGGCGCACTGGATAGTGCGCCGCTTGGGAAGCGCGGCGGCGCTCCCGCCCGAGGGTTCGGATCACACGCACCCAAAAAAAGCTAGTAGGGAAACTTGCCAGAATTTGAACCCAGATCTGCCAAAACTCCAAAGTCAGACCATAATTGTGTCTCCCAGTGTGTAAATATCTATCAAATACTTTGTGCACATGTGTGAACATGCCAAACTTTGAATGATTTAAGTATAACCTGTATTTTAATACTTAGGACAGCATCATAAAATTAATTTCTAAATGAATATTGAAATTTATCCAGTTTCTATGTTTAGCTAAACATATAATTGTGCTCCCATAGATAATTGCTTTTAACAATTGAGAGAGAGAGTGTGTGTGTGTGTGTGTGTGTGTATAAATAAAATACACGCTATTTTGTTGCCTGCTTCTTTTCATCTCATAAGACATTCTGAATATCTTCTCTCCTCCCTTTTCTAATATCTGTGTTGTGTGGCCTGATGTATCATGTAGCAGTCAGGATCCAATCAGGAGATAGAACCCACATAGTGATTTGAACAGAGAAAGCAGAATTATTAATTATAACAGGATTGCCTATAAGAGGTAAAGAGAATGCTCAAGAATGAAAGAATAGCATATAGAGGGAGCAGCCACTATCTCTGGGACTGCTGCAGACCATCTGAGGAAGAAACAAATCTGGAAGAGCTGAGATCTAGACCTTGGTGGGGAGGGTATGGCTGTGGCCTGCTGGCTGGTGGAGAAGTTTGTTGAGGTGCTGCCCTAATGAAACTCACTGGGAGGCTACCCTCTGGGGTGGGGTGCCAGGAGAAGCCACCTATGCTGGGGTGCTGCACATTGCAGTCCACCAAAAAAACAAAACAAACAAACAAAAAAACCCAGGAAAAAAAGAAAGGAAGGAAGGAAGGGAGAAAAACAGGCCAGAATCAGGAAGCAAATCCCCTTCTCCTCCACTGTCCCTCCAGCGCCCTCTACTGTTGAAGGTTATCATCTCCCCAGCTAGCAGGGTGGAAATGTAGTGACACAAGCAGGCAGTGAGCTGAGAGGCAGTGACCACCGCACAGCTGGCAGCATGAATTTGGAGCACAGGTGGTGATTGGGAGGGACTGCAGCTTCAGCAGTGGTTCTTGTTTTGGGTGGGCATAAGAAGTCCCTGGATACTTGTAAAAAAGATTCACACTCCAAATTCTAATTCCATGGCTCTGGGATGGGCCAGAAGTTTATATTTTTAACAAGTACCTTGGGGAATCCGACATGGGTGATTCGGGGACATCAGGAGCCCTGACTTTTAGTGGTTTAGTTCTTGCCTTGGTCATTTCCAGGAGATACAGGACTTGGCTAAGTTAGAGTGTTTCTGTCATCAGATTGCTATAAGGATAATTAAGTCACACATGGAAAGCACAGCACCTTCCTTTGATGCTAGTGATAATTATGTCTAAAGACGAAGGCTATGGTAGCCTGGTGCCTCACTGTGCACTCTACTGATACCCCTGCCAAGGAGACCAGACATTCAAGTCCTTTGGTCAAGGCGTCAGCTCCCTTGGTCAGAGCTGCCAAGTTCTTACGCGTGGACATCGTTCCCCTCCCTAGATTTTTTGCCGACCCTCTCCCTTCTTTGATCCCACAGTCTCCTCCTGCTGGTGCTTTCCCGTTCTTCTCCTCAACAGCCAAATTTGTCAAGTGACACATCTCTCCACACCTTCTCCCTTTCCTCATCTGACAGTGTCTCCTCAACCCGCTCCAATCTGACTTCTCTCTTCATTCCCCCACCAGACCAGAGGACTTCATGTTAAATATGGTGGATGATTTTCTGGCTTCATCTATATGACTTCTCAGGAGCATTCCACATGGATGACAGCTTTGGCTGTCTTAAAACCCATCTGTCCCCTGGCCTCCATGACATCTTGCTCTCTTCATTTCCTCCTGCCTCCCTGGGCGCCCCTCCCTCATCTCCTTGTAGGCCCATCTTCCTCTACCTGCCCATTAAATGGTGGGGTTCTCCAAGGCTGTCTAGGCCCTTCTCTCTACTCTTCTAAGCACTTGCACCCTGCCGCCCTGCTTCAGATTCCATTTATTGTGTGCTGTGCCCAGGTTTCTTCTCCCAGCTCATGACGCTGTGTGACCAACTGCTGCTATGTGATTCCGTTCATTTATCCACTCAGCCAGCAGATAAATGTACACATGCAGAGTGCCCACTATGTTTAAAACACAAATGTGGTAGTGTCCCCTCCCGCCCCCAGGTACTCCATGCACCCCATACCCTTTCAATTTAGATCTCTTGTGCGGTTTCCCAGGGCCGCAACATGTGCCACAACCTGGCCTCTGCCAACCATTCTCACCCTGGTGTTCTTTTATTTCCTCAATGCCCTGACGTTCCCTCCTGCCACTGGACCTCTGTACATACTATTCTCCCTTCTTATTTTTAGTTCCCTGCCCCCCCCCCCAGCTTTATTTTGTGAAGAATTTAAGTGGGATATAGGAGACTCCATTAAATATGAAAGTGGTAAGATCCGATATAACATTGCAGGAAACCAAATCAAGACTATTTTTATTTTTTTATTTATTTATTTATTTTTTTTGTCTTTTGTCTTTTTCCGTGTCCAGCAACGGATCGCAACCCTCAGTGTTGCCCCCGTACCGGACCGGGGACCGGCAACGGGATCGCAACCCTCGGTGCTGCCCCCGCGCCTCGCTCAGCCAGTGAGCGGGAACCGGTCCGTATGTGGGATCCGAACCCTCGGTGGGAGCGCCGCCGCGCTTCCCAAGCGGCGCACTTATCCAGTGCACCACCGGGCTGGCCCTCAAGACTATTTTTAAAGTGTTATTAGAAATGTAGATTTTTTCCTTGTCATATTATTTTCAACATTGTTCATCAGTCAGCACCTACTATGTGCTACGGGTGACAGAGCCACAGGCCCTCACATTCAGTCATAGAGGAGGATGTGCAGATTGCAAGCACAGGCTGGGCTGCTGAGGTGGGCACAAGGACCGGGGGAGTGGGTAACGTTGCCTGCCAGTTAGAGAAGGTGGCAGGAAAGGAGGTGGACTAGGCTGGACTGGGAAGGACAGGGTGGGTTGTCTTCATGTGACGAATGTGTATGGTAGTCCAGGCTGCCCCAGGACATTGACCAAAAGCATTTTGGTTAAATCCAGTTGATCAACATGACTTTTTGGTCAAAAATAAGCTCTTTGGTGATTAGTTGTTCAAGTATTGGTCATTTTAATAAGCCAGGAAGTAGATTTAGCATTTTAAAATATTTTGTCTGTTTTCTGAATTCTGTAGAATGTTTTTCATTTTTTGCACAATTGTTTATTTTCAGCCACTTATTTATAGTCTGCAGATCAGTAGTAGGAAGTTAAAAGCAACCTGGATGTCCAAGTTTTCACTGTAGCAAAGTGTACAGGCAAACTGGGGTCACCTTCTTCATGGAGTACCTGAATTACCATTGTGTGGCAGATGAGTAATGGAGCAGGATTCGTTTTCATCTTTATCACTGAGGCAGTTGGCTTCAAAGAACAACTGTTTTTCTGACCAAGTTGGATGCTACTTCTAGGCAGGATAGGCAGACAGGAGTCCAGCCTTGGCCCATTTGGGGGCTGGTGGGTAGAACATGTAGAAAGAGCATAGGGGTGGGGGAGTGTTGGAAGGGCGGGGAGGAGCCCAGCAGGGGAAGGGGCCAGGGTTACCCTGAAGAGTTTGGCCTGGGTCCTGCTCAGGAGTGAGCATGGATGAGAGAGACAAGGAATTCGGAGTCCAGTTCCCGGCCTTGCCCTGGGACCAGCTTGCCCCATGTCCCTGCCCAGGACCTCGTCTTGCTCATCTGTAGGAGGAAAGTTTCTGTGATTGTACTCTTTTGAGTTGTCAGACTTCTTTATCTATTTTTAAAAGTTTTCTTTCTTTTTTTTTTATCAGATAGTAAATACTCTGTTCTGAATTTAAAGGTAAGATTTTTTTTTTTTAAAGAAACCAATATTCTCAGTAAATAGAATTTCCACCATAATTTTTAAACAATTCTTGTGATTTGTGGGAAAATCTTCCCTTAAAAAAGTTCTTTCCTAGTGAATATTTCTTTTAAATACTTTTAAAACATGAGGAAACTCATATTTTCCGTAGCTTAATAATGAAAGTAATGTATTGAAAAGTTAGAAATCACTTAATTTGTGGAATGAATAGATAATTTCAGTAACTAATTTGCAAATACAGAAATAGTTCTACTTAAGTTTTTAATTGTACGATGTGATAGGAACTTAAAAATAAGACATTTCTCGGTAAAGTTCATTTATAATCTTACCTACGTTTTCAGCAGAAATTAGAAACAATATCACACAGACATATAATGGAAAAATTAGCAAAAGGTCAAAGCCTTCCCTTTTCTCTAAGTTTTGGATTGAAAAGCAAGGTCTTATTATATTCTTTTCTCAGCATTTTGCAAACATGCTGCATTACAGTAGATGGGGTCTTTTTTGCATATTGCAGTGAGAAAAGGCCTGGTTGGAGTTGGCTTTGTGCATCTCTGCTCAGTGTTCCCAGCCTTAAAACAGGATTTAGAATGTGAACTGACCTCTGTCACTCAGGCGGTCTGCATGGAAAGATACAGACACAGCTCACGGGCAAAAAGGCAGGAAAAGAGCTGGGACAGGACTTCCCTTTCTGTCTCAGAGAACCCACCTGGAGGGGAAGACCCTTAAGGTTTAAGATTTAGTTATAAGAAACAGTAGATTTTAAACTTTCTAAAGGTAAAGCAAACTAAGAACCACAAGAGCCAAAAGTAAGGGGGAAAGTATGCTTAAGTATGTGATATGTGCTGACAGCTTCTCGTGTCAGTCAACTTTTAGGAGGTGCTAAGACTCTTCATTCATTCCTCTTACGTTTTTTGTTCCCTAGGATGAAAACCCTCCATTATGTGAAAAACCTCCACCTCCTCCAGGTATTTGCCTTTTGAATTTCACTATGGTGGGAAAGCGTATTGTTCTAGAGAATACCCAGAATAATTTCTTTTGAAAGTAAAGTCACTTTTTCTTTTCCCTGTAAAGGCTGTTGCTCTGTCCTTTTTACTGGAATTGCGAAGTATTAGTTGTTGAACTTCCGTCTTTTCCCCAAAAGACAGGATCCCAACACTGAGGATCCAAACTCAGATCCCGGGGAGTGGTGTGGACCTGTGGGATATGACCAGATCCAGGGGTCGGGTGTATGCAGATGAGTGCTTTGCTCAGGTTCTGGAGGCAGAGTGAGAGGTCTAGAGATGCTTTATGGGATACATCCTCCTGTACAGTTTGGGGACTTTCAGTAGTCTCCACAGTGGATTTTGCTGTTTGGGGCTGTTATGTCTTGCATCACTAGTCTGAAAATCCTATTTTAAGTCTGTCCTCCATGTCAGATTGACTTTATTTTCAGCCTTTCTTTTTTTTTTTTTTTCCTTTTTTTTGTCTTTTTTACTGACCGGTAACGGGATCGCAACCCTCGGTGTTGCGCCCGCATCGCGCTCAGCCAGTGAGCAGGAACCGGTCTCCACATGGGATCCGAACCCTCGGCGGGAGCGTCGCCGCACTCCCAAGGGGCGCACTCTCCAGTGCGCTACCGGGCCGGCCCTCTTTTCAGCCTTTTTATTTCGTTGTTTTTCATGCTGTATTCTGGAAGATCACTGGGGCTCTAACTAAATCCTATTTTAAGTCTGTCCTCCATGTCAGATTGACTTTTTTTTCAGCCTTTTTTTTTTTTTTTTTTTCCTTTTTTTTGTCTTTTTTACTGACCGGTAACGGGATCGCAACCCTCGGTGTTGCGCCCGCATCGCGCTCAGCCAGTGAGCAGGAACCGGTCTCCACATGGGATCCGAACCCTCGGCGGGAGCGTCGCCGCACTCCCAAGGGGCGCACTCTCCAGTGCGCTACCGGGCCGGCCCTATTTTCAGCCTTTTTATTTCGTTGTTTTTCATGCTGTATTCTGGAAGATCACTGGGGCTCTAACTTCTAGCCCACATGTTTATTCTTCATTCTGTGTATTCTGCTAGTCAGCCCATCCTTTGATTTTGTGTTATTAATCAAAATGTTAATTCGCACGATTTCTAATGAGACATTGGCTACAGTCTCTCTGCAAATCTTAGCTATGCTTATTTCACTCCTGCAGTCTGTGCCCCTCTTTCTCCTCTCATTTGACTTTGTTGCTTTTCTTGGCTCAGATGTGTGATCGTTTGAGGCAGTGTGCTAACCTTGGTCCTCGAGAGTCCGTGGTGTCCCGTCTGAGGATGCTGTGTCTGTTTACTGCAGGCTGCTTAGAGAGGGGAAACCAGCTGGGCTGCCAGGTGCACAGCTTGTCTGCAGTGACTGATGGGGACAGGCAGGAGGTGTGGACAGGCAGGAGGTGTGGACCCCCCTCCCTCCTGGATTTCTCTAGCCCCCTGGCCTGCCCTGCCTCTCTGACCTCTGGGCCTCTATGTACTGCCCGGAGAGGGGCACACACTTCTGCTGCTGCTGCCTGGCCCAGGAGGTTGACCCCTTGCTACTCCCACTCTGTTGTTCTAGCTGGACCCTGCATCAGCTCTTTCTAGGTCACTTTGTGTCCCCACTCCTACTAGAGCAAGGCATGTCCCTGGAGTCACCCCCACCTTTTGTAGTTGAGCTCTCCTGGCATATTTTAGGCTGTGGCTTCCATCTTCAATCTGATCTCAACTGCTTTCTCTCTGGGCTTCCTCGTGGTTCCCTTCTTGTTCTCAGTGTACTTGTGGAATTGCCCATTTCGTTGCCTCTCCTTTCATGTTCTAGGGACTGGGTATGTGTGTGTTTCAGAGCCACCAGCCCCCCACCCTTACCTTCTCACAGAAGTTCTGTGTCTGCCTCCACCTTTGCTGGGAGGCATCCCTGGTCAGGGGGCCTGTTGGAGTTCTCACCTCCTTTGACTTCTTATGAGTATATTTCTCCATGGAACACCACTCTGTTTTCCTCCAACCTTTCCTCTATTCCTTCTTTTTTTTTTTTTTTTTTTTTTTTCAAACCAAGATTATTTAGTCTCATTTACCAAATATGTGAACTGGGATTCTTAAAACAATTTTTAGTTTTTCTAAGAACTGTTTAGCACATTTAAAGTATTAGAAGTTACCTTATTTTCTAAATTTTGGATAACATTGAATTTCTGTATGTATTTATTTATATCTATAAGCCAATATAAATTGAAAGCTCAAGGAGCTCAGAGTAGAGTTCCTTTAATTTGAGATACTTTATAATCTAATTGATTAGTATCCTCCAGAGATAGGAAAACCTTGCACACTTAAACAAAAAGAGGTAAAGACCTTTCTGAATTTTGGACACAGACACATAGTGAGCTAACAGCTTGAATTCCGAAATTGTAGCCGTGGGTCAAGGATAAAGGAGAAACACAAAAGCTCACTAGATGTCAAAGAGCTGTTCTCCTCTGTGCTCATGAAACTGTCTTGCTACTCCTTCTCACACTCCTTTGTGACTTTTTGTTTTCTCCTCTCCCTGGTGCCTTCAGGTGCTGGTGGCTCCTCAGTCTCTCTCCAGCCAAGGCTGCCTTCAGAGCTTTGGGCCTGTACCCTAACCTGAGTTTGCCTCCCCCCACTTTTGTCCCCACACTTGCTCTCCACTTTGTGCCTTGTCTGGGTAAGTGTCTCCAAACCACAGACCTTGGCAGTCCTCCTCTATTTGCTTATCCCTCACTGCCCACACCCACTCAGCCATTAAGCCCTGTCGGGTTTTAGCCCCTGAGTCCTCTCATATGTCCCTTCCTGTCTGTCCCCACTCTGGTGCTGCCCCTCAGAGCCTCTGGGTTGAGCCTCATTCCAGTAGCTTCCTTCCCTGCTGGTCTGCCTCTTCTTTTTCACACCTCTGCCTAGAAGCCCTTGCGGCTCCTGCTGGCCTGCAGGATGGACCCTCCACCTGCATCATGGTACACAAGGGTCTGCTACGGCTCCTACCTCTCGCACTCTGCCACCACTCTTCCTGCCACTCACTCACTCCTTCCTGGACGAGCCCTTCTCTTTCCAGGGACCGAAGAACACAGCACCAGGCATGACAGTAGTTGCTCATGCAGTTTTTGGAATAAAGTCTCGTGGGATTTTGGAGTAAAATTGTAAATATCAATTAATATTTTAAAACTTTTTCTCTGTACCTTTTCAGATATAGCTGGTAGAGCACGTCAAAGATACATAGAAATAACCAAAGAAAAGTTTGAGGAATTAAAAGAAGAAAATTTGCTCCTAAACAATAAGAACAATCAAACCCTTACCCTTGAACTAAAACTAATGAAACAAGCAATGAAAGAACTACAATTAAAACTTAAGCAAATGGAAAAAGACAATGGAAGGCTGAAAAAGGCTGAGAAAACATCATCTCAGGAAGGTGGGGACAAGTATCAGGTTTTTTATTAAAGGAACGAACAGGACTTTACTCGTTTTATTATTTATTTTGAAAATTAATGTTTTATGTTTTATGTTGTGATATTTGCTGATACTTATGTTGTTGATATTTTTGTTGTAATATTTAAGGTTCTTTCATTAGTATCCTTATGCTTGTTGAAATTTTTGTTTGTTTGTTTCTTCTTTTTCGTAGCCTCTGTGTGACCCTCCCCTCCGCTACACGTGCTGCCTGGCCTACTCCTGGCCTCCCCTCCCCACCCTCTGTGTAGGCCGCGGGCCAGTGCTTGTTGAAATTTGATTTCCTCTGCTAAATTATTATTATTGTTGTGCTAAAGAAATTTCAATACTTCTCTTGGAACTTGATGCTTAGCATACTATCTTACATATATTTCATATCAGTTTTTATCCCCATGAGCAGCATATAAAAGTGCCTCTTTTATACATACTTACCAATGATAAGATTTATATTTTCCTTCTTAATTTGATAGGCAAAAAAAAAAAAGAAATCCCATTTTTATTTTGTATTTCTTTTATTATTATTATTATTAGTTTTATTTTGTTTTTTATGTTTGTTTTTTTTTTTTTGGTGGCTGACCAGTAAGGGGATCCGAACCCTTAACCTTGGTGTTATCAGCACTACACTCTAACCAACTGAGCTAAACAGCCAGCCATATTTCTTTCATTATAAATGAGCTTGAATTTTTTTTTTTATGTATCTTTGCAAGTTATTTTCTTTCTCCTCCATAAATTTGCTCACTTTAAGTTGAGACACTTGGCTTTTCCTTATTGATTTGGAGGAACTCTTTACATATTAAAGATTTTAGCCCTTTGTCGTGTGTGTAATATTTTCTTAGTTGGTTGATAATTCAGCTAAATCTATAAGATGGTTTTCTTTTGTGACTTACGCCCTTGGTGTCAAGTCTTTTTTAACTCTAATATTATATAAATATTCACCAATATTTTCTCTATACTTTTTAATATTTATGTAAGACTAATATAGCCTTGCCTTAGTTCGTTTGTGCTGCTGTAATAGGATACCTGACACTGGGTAATTTGTAAAGAACAGAAATTTATTTCTTACCCTTCTGGAGGCTGGGAAGTCCAAAGTCGAGGGGCCCACATCTGGCAAGGACTTTCATGCAGTGTCATCCCCTGGCAGAAGGCGGAAGCAAGAGAGCATAGGGGGGAAGGGGGAAGGAGAGAGAGCAGCAAGAGAGGGCTGAACACACTTTTATAACAAACACATTCTCATGATAATTAACCTACATCTGTGATAATGACATTATCTGCCCTCATGACCTAATTGCATCTTAAAAGTCCCACCTCTCAACACTGTTGCTTTGGGGATTAAGTATCTAACAGATGAATTTTGGGAACCATATTCAAACCACAGTAGGCCTTAAGTAAGATGGTGTAGTTTTCTTCATATAAACCCTGCATATTTCTTGTGTTAGGCACATTTCTTTCTTGATACTTTATGTTATTTGTGCTGTTGTTACATTGTCAGATCTATTTTCTATTATGTTTTCTAATTGCTGTTATGTGGGAAGGTTTTTTGTTCTAATAAATTTTCTATTCTATATGGTTTTCGAGGCATATATTTTTACACTGTCTGAAACAATGAGTATTCCTTTTCAACTTAAAATTTTTATTTTACTTTATCGTATATGCAAAAATTTCCACAAACTTCCAAAACAACATGGTGTATTCAGTGTTAAAAAACTTGGTAACGTTTTTCATTTATACATATATATGTATACTTTGCTGTCTCTATGAAGCCTAAAAGGAAAAAAAAAAAGGCAAATGATTAGCAATTTATATAAAACCTTGATAAATTTAATATAATTTCTTGTAATATAATATTTAACTGATTTTTTTTTCCCCACTAGGCACTACACCTGAATTACTTTATCTAAGAAAACAAGTTCAGGAACTGGTGGACGAAAATGATGGGTTGAAAATGATTGTCCATCGTTTGAATGTAGAACTGAGTCGATATCAAACAAAATTCAGGCATTTGTCCAAGGAAGAGGTAATGTTTCCAATTATGAAAAATCAGACTTTTCAGATTTTTTTTAGACTTTTCTGTTGAATTGTTTTTCAATTCTGAAGGGTTCTTATTTATTATAACTTGGTATAAAAAATAATACGTCCAAAGCACGGTCTTTCTAGGAACTGTTCTTCCTTCCTTCTTGCACTGAGAAAACTCAGGGATGTGAGGGACACGTGCCAGCACAGGTGGAGGACGCAAAGCTGTCTAGCCCTGGCTGGGGTCAAGGGAGGGGAAGCCAGGGACACAGGGTGTTCTCACATGGCTCCTGAGAGTTCAGGGCCTCTTGGGCTTCTGAGTTTGTTTTTGAATGGGGCTGAGTATTAATTCTTTTTAAATAACAGCTTTGAGATGTAATTCATATACCATCCAATTCATACCCATTTTAAAAGTATACAATTCAGTGTATTCACAGAATAATGCAGCCACTGCACAATCAATTTTAGAGCATTTTTATCACATCAAGAACTTTCCAGACCGGTTCCTGCTCACTGGCTGAGCGAGGCGCGGGAGCAACACCGAGGGTTGTGATCCCATTGCCGGTCCCGGTCCGGTACAGGGGCGACACTGAGGGTTGCGATCCGTTGCCGGACACGGAAAAAGACAAAAAAAAAAAAATCAGAAAGGGATAGGCCTGACCCCTTACTCTTTGAGAAATGTGTAAAGTTAATAAGAATTGAAAGGAGGCAGTTATTCTGATCTCAAGGGAATGGTTTTCAACTTGCGAGGTTAAAATAAACAGAAAAGAAACTGAAGCCCACCTGAAGGAGGAGGTAGTAAAAGCACATCTCGCTGCTTTTCCTGAGTCTTAGGCTTAAACGAATTATGTACCAAGGAACTGCCTAATATTGATCTTTATGTTTAACAATGTTATATTTATATAGGGCTTTTCTCTTACAAAGAGTTGTCATTTCAATAGTCAGCAGACTCAATTTAATATACATTTATTGAGCATTTCTCATATATAAAAAAAAAAAAAGACAAAAAAAAAAAGAACTTTCCTACCTGTTAGCATTCCCTCCCCATTTTCCTCCATTGCCTACTCCCCTCATCTAAGCCCCTAGCAATTGCTAATCTATTTTCTGTCTCTATGGATTTGCCTATTCTGAACATTTCATATAGATGGAATCATACATTTTCTGATCTTTTGTGACTGACTTCTTTCACTTAGCATAATACTAACATTTAAATAAAAAAAAAATTTCTTAGGGTCACATGATCTAAAACATGCTTCCTAGGTCAGCACTTACTATAGCTATGGGTAGGCAGTATAAGGAGGCATAGGGACAACCTCCCCATCACCCTGCCCTGCCTCACCATCACCCCCACCTCTCTTCTGTCCTGTGCAAATGCCACATTCTCCATGACAGTCTTCCCTCATCACTCCAGCCAGAAGTGATCTCACTCTCTGTTTTAAACCATTGCAGGGGCCGGCCCGGTGGCGCACTGGATAAGTGCGCCACTTGGGAAATGCGGCGGCGCTCCCGCCCGAGGGTTCGGATCCCACATACGGACCGGTTCCCGCTCACTGGCTGAGCGAGGTGCGGGAGCAACGCCGAGGGTTGCAATCCCGTTGCCGGTCCCCGGTCCGGTACGGGGGCAACACTGAGGGTTGCGCTCCGTTGCCGGACACGGAAAAAGTCAAAAAGACAAAAAAAAAAAAAACCATTGCAGACTTTTGTTTGTACCACTCTTAATGCATTTATAGCATTCTACTCTGTACTATGTTTCTGTATTATGTTCAGAGATAATAGACTTATCTCTGTTATTAGATCATAAAATCCTTGAAAACAAGGATTCTGCTGCAATGTCTGTAATGACTTAGTGAGTTCACATATTTCCTGAATGAATGGGTGATGAAGGCTGGCCAATTAGCTCACTTGTTTAAAGCTTAGTGCTGATGGTTCATAACACCAAGATCCATGGTTCAATCCCTGCACTGGCCAGTTGTCCAACACCCCCCCCCCCAAAAAAAAAAAAAAAAGAAAAGAAAAATGACGAGATGGATATTAAGGAGACTGCATTGGAAAATTTTTGTTAAATAAGGAATTATTCCTTCAGGGCCATAGTTTCTGTACCAAATTTATTCTCTTGCTGTGAACAACTAAAAAACTAGACAGACTATATGATGGTACTTCAAAATGTCTGTGGAAAATAGAATTAAAAGATATACAAATCTTTCCATGAACTTTTTGAGCTAACCTCGTATAATGCAACTATTTACACACATCAGACAGCATGCGACACCAGACTCTGATCCTCGAGAGCAGGAAGATAAATAGATGAGCCTTATGATTACCTCTGCCTTCTGTCTGGAGGCAATCTCAGTTCACAGAGCAGGATGGAGGAACCAAGCAGAGCACAGCAATTTCTCTGAGTCCAGGAGGCAGATTTAAGTTTGGGGAAGCTGAGGAGGCTAGAATTTGTAGAGCAAGAATACCAGAAAGGAAGGAGCTATGGACAGAAAGAGCTGCATAGATCTGCATGGGGTTCCTTGGAGTCTTTTGTTGAATACTAATCTGCACATGTGTAGGATAAAACTTCATGAGGTTGGGCAGGAAAAAAGTACAGGAAGCTGTGAGCTGAATGGTTCCCAGAATTTGCACAGCACTGGGAGACCTTTGAGTTCTGACCAGTCACAATGGCAAGACCTTGTTGAACACTGTGGCATTGAGTAAAGCACCCAGAAGGGCCATGCCTTAGTATTATGGCTAAACTAGCCTTTCAGTAAAGGCTACTACAGACCAACCATAACCAGGGTGAAAAACAAGCCTCAAAAGCATCAAGCTGGGGGCTGGCTGGTTAGCTCAGTTCGTTAGAATACAGTGTTATAACACCAAAAAACCAACAAGCTTCAGGCTGATCCACAAGCAACTTAAGAGGCTGCAAAAAAGAAAAAAAGTAAACCAACTTTCTTTAAAGGAAGACAACAAAATCCAGACACTCAAAATGTAACATTCAGAAAGTCCAGAATTAGGCTGGTCAGTTGGTTCAGTTGGTTCGAGTGCAGCCTTGCAACACCAAGGTCAAGGGTTCAGATCCCTATACTGACCAACTGCCAAAAAAATAAAAGTTCAGAATCCAGTAATAAATTACTAGATATGTTTAAGAGTTAAAAGGACTAGAAAAAATTGACTAAATGCAACACGTGAACCTGGATTGGATCCAAGATCAGAAGAGGACATTAGTGGGAAAATAGATGAAATTTGAAGATGGTCTATAGGTTAGAAAACAGTGTTGTGTCAGTGTTGATTTCCTGATTTTTATGATAGTATTATGGTTAAGTAAATGAATATTTTTGTTTTTAGGAAATACACACTGAAGTAATTAGAGGGAAGGGAGCATTATATGTTTAAGTTACACTCAAGCATTTCAGAAAAAAATTGTTCATATATACACACACACACACACCCACACACACACGCATGCATATATATATACATTTAGATGCATAGATAGGTGATGCTGAGTCTAGATTAAGAATATTTTAGACTTGAAATTTCAGATGAAGTGTAGTTTAATTTGTCTTTAATATGTGTTTTATTCTTAGAGTTTAAAAATTGAAGGCCTCCCATCAAAGGGCCCTATACCACCCTGGTTGGTAAGTGAAACATTTAATTTCAGGCCAATCATTTCTGGGCTGTATTTACATAGCTATTAAAAACCATTCCAAAATAAGTGTATTTTCTTGCCTTTTAAAAAATGTGCTGATTGTGTTTAGTTATCGGTAATAGTAACCTTCCTTTACTCCATTATCTTCAGTTGGATATAAAGTACCTGTGCCCCTTGTTGCTGGCTTATGAAGATAGAATGAAAGAGAAGGACGAGTTCAGTTGTACCCTTGAGGTAGGTTGGCAAATGTCCCAAAAGAGACATGGTTTATAAAAATAAGGCCATTTCAAACTTTGCAGAAACATTTTGGATGTAGGTATGCCCAACATATAGTAGATAATCAATTGTTTGTGGAAGGAAGGAAGGCAGATAGGCAGGTGTGTGGCAGGGACAGAGGGAGGGGAAGAAGGAAAGAGAGGGAAAGAAGGAAGGAGGAGGAAGTAAGGGAGTGACTGGCAGAACAGGAAGTGTGGGCAGGGATAGAAGGGAAAGATTTGGAGGGACAGGGTGCTTTCCTGGACAGGCAGCCCCGTGTGGGCTGGGATCTTGGGTGCAGTGTGGAAGGCAGCAGTGGGGAGGCACTTCTTCCCTGGGACTCCGAAGCTGCACACACCACCATAAGAAGAAACATTTGAGCAGACAGAGAAGGTAATAGGCTAGGGATGCTTTAGGCAAAATTAGATACTGCTTAATTTTAGGAAGAGCTGACCCCAGAGAAGTCCAATTATTGAGCTGTTGGAAGTGGTTAGGAAGCGAGGTTTTTATTCATTTCTACTTTGTTCACCTCTGTTTCATGGGGATGGCTTCTGGCAGTGAAGCTCATTCTAATTATACAGGAGACTAAGCCTGGGCTGGTTTTGTAGATACGTCCTGTGCCTTTCCATGCTGCATACCTCTGGGTTCCTCATTTAAATGGCCAAATAGATCTCTGGAATTGGAAGGATCCAGGGAGAGAAGTGTTGGTTGTTATGGGATCCTGAGCTGGAGGATCCTTTAAGAGTCTCCCAGCCTGTTCTTCAGTCATGCTGTCCTGTGTACATGTCCCATGTAATGCAATTTTGAAACTTTTCTTCTAGTCTCCCTGTTGGACGCTTAATTTTTTAAGAGCATGAATTAATCTTGTACTAATTGGTTAAATATCAACCTAATAATTAATAAAATTATTTTGTTGCCCTTTCTAAATCGGGGTCACCATACTTTTTCCATAAATAGCCAGTTAATAGATTTTTTAGGCTTTGTGGGCCATGCAGTTACTGTTTGCAATACTCAACTCTGCTGTTATAGCATGAAAGCAGCCGTAGATAACATGTAAATGATGGGTGAGGCTGTGTTCCAATGAAACTTTATTCACAAAAACTGACGGCTGGCTGCAGACATTAGTTTGCCTGACCCCTGTTCCATAAAAGAGCCAAATGGACTGCCAGCAATTGGTGCACGTGTCTGGGCAGAAAGGCAAGAAAAGGAAAAGTTACTTGGGAATGCTGCCTTAATTAAGTTAAACAGGTGTAAGCATAAATGTCTGATACCTGGGAGAAGAATATTTAGCAGCACCGCACAGTAAATATTGGTACCTAAGATTCTTACCAAAGGAGACCAAAGGACACAGAAACTGGCCAAGGGCTGGCTGAGAAAAGCCATGGAGACAGAGGCAAGCAGAAATGCCATAAAGGCAGACTGAGAGGAGTTGAAAACAGACACAGGCTGCTAGGAGTCCAAATAGGCCAAGCAGCAGTCCTGGCATTGGGCTAATGGCTGAGGAAGCTGCAGGGCCTGATGACTTTAAGAAAGGGCTTTGTCATGGTTGTCCTGGGGCGAAATTGGAGCCTCCAGTCCCCATGCTAACTAACCCCTTTCCTTCAAAACAGGCTTTCAATAAGGATGGAAAGTTCTTATTCTTTTATAAAAAACTCCAATTTATCCTCGAAAGTCTTTAAACAAAGGAAAGATTACAGTGTTGATGGACATCTCTGCCTTTTCCCCTTTTCAATTTTTTAAGTATTTGGCAGTTATAGAAAAATGTTATCGGGGCCGGCCGATACTGCTACAGTGCGCCGCTTGAGAGCACGGTGGCGCTCCCGCCGAGGGTTCGGATCCCACATACAGACCGGTTCCCGCTCACTGGCTGGGCGAGGTATGGGCGCGACACCGAGGGTTGCGATCCCGTTGCCGGTCCTGGTCCAGTACGGGCGCGACACTGAGGGTTGCGATCCGTTGCCGGACACGAAAAAAGACAAAAAAAAAAAAAGAAAAATGTTATCAAATTAGGAATTGAATATTTAAAAGCTGAGATTCCTTGTCCCTTGTACTGGGCATTGCAGTTGTCCCTTGTGTTTTCTCACTAAACTGTAAGCTCCCTGAGGGCAGGCACTTGGTACTGGTACCAAGCTGGTGCTATTGTGAGACTTTGCCAAATGGCTACTCACATTTGATTTTAGCCACAGCAACAGCACTAGAACTAAGAAATATAGATGTGTGTGTATATGTGTATTACAATTTACATAAATTTTATTTCAGGAGGAAATGAGAATGTTTAGGATGCGAGTCCAAGAAGTGGTGAAAGAAAATGAAGAATTGCACCAAGAGTTAAATAAGAGTAGTCCTGTTACCAGGGAGGAATGGCAAGTGGTGTTGTGTTTCTGGTATTTTGCTAATAGAAAACAAAAGATAATAGGAATAAACCTTATAAAATTACCAAATACATAAGTACAATTTTTAACTAAATGATTTTAAGGAGGAGTTTCTAAGAAATTAATAAGATACAATGAAATTCTAGTAAATTATCCTAAATTTGTCTTTTAAAGATGACTTTAAAAATTCTAAATAGGTTCTCAAACCTGAATATACTTGCTTTTCCCATCTTTACTTTCTGAGGTGCTATTTTTCTAGGGCAGTTTTCCCATCCCCAACCTGGCAAGTCACAGGCTTTGTTAGATACCTGCGATGGCTCCCAGGGATTTGGAACAACCAGCTCCCGTCTGCTCTGCCCGATTCCCTGACGGCTGAGGTTGCCCTCATTTTAGTCTGTTACTGATGCTGCTCTCTCCCCTGAATGTCCCTTTGCAGTTCCACTCACCTTTTAGGGCCCTGCTCAGATGACAGTTGTCAGTAGCTCTCCCTGCAGTAGAGGCAGAGTTATTGCTCCCTTGTCTCTGACATAACCCTAAACATACACCCTGTCCCAGTACTTGCCACAGTGCGCCTCCCTGTCTTGTCTGTCTCTACATCTGTCTCCCTCTTCTCCTTTGTGAGCTCTGAAAGGGCAGGACCATGTCCTGTTCATTTTTGTGTGTGGCCGCGTATCCAGCATGGCAGCAACAAATGCCTGTTAACAGAATTAGAAAAAGTAAATGTCTTTAAAAGTCTAAAGGCAATATCCAGGCAAGACTAAGGAAACAAAAATTAATCACTGTGGATAGGTATGTTATATTTAAGTACTTTGAAAATGTCTCAACATCACTGAAAAAAATGAAATATTTTGCATATGTGATGTCCAGAAGTCTGGAGTGGAGTCAACAGCATTCTTACCATAAGGTCAGTTCTCCCTGATTTTATAGTCACTGAGGTGTCAGGTCGGACTGGCCTGGGCAGCTATTGTATCTTGGTACACTGTGACTTCCCCTGCTGAACTTGGATTTTCTTTTGTCAGGTTCCTAGTATGTCTCCCCTCAAACCCTCTTTGAACAGCACCCTGGAAACCAGCTTAGTCAGACTGGGTCTCACACACCCTTGTGAGAATTTGGAACTTCAGATTCTTTCTCTAACCTTATCTATAGCCATAAGTTAAACCTGTATATATGTCCTTAAAATAAAAATAATTAGTAAATGAGATGAAGGAAAGATATTCCCCGCTTTCAGATCCATGGTCCTCCAGTGTTCTCCACTCCTGCGTTCGTCAGGATTTAACTTTGCCCTCTGCCCTGGTGAGGTGGCCTGTGCAACTGGGGCAAGCTGTCACTGTGCTACAGCTGGGGAGGGTTTCTGGGCTCTAAAGCATTGTATTCCAGAGGCAGATCTGTGACCTTGTGAGGCCCTTCCCTGAGCCTCCTTGCTGCTCCCTGTCCCTGCACAGCTGTGCAGCTGCTAGGCCTGTGCAAAGCACTCGGCACTCAGACATCACTTCCGCAGAAGCTTTCTACTTAGTTTCCAGTAATTTCTTGATGAACTTCTGGGCTGCAATAGTTTGTCTACATTTCTTTTCCTTACTCCCCTGGCCAACTGTGTAACCTCAGACTTAATGGTCCTATTCGTTTACCTATAGAATGGGAGGGAATATTAAACTAAATCCAAAGTTTTCAACTGTTTTTTAGGAATGGGGGACCCCTTTTATTTAAAAAAGAAAGGAATGACAGGAGAGAGGAAGGAAAGAAGAATGAACAAATAAATGAGTGAAGGAAATATAGGGAATTATATTATAATTAACTCAATGAATTAATTAATATTAATTCATTAAATTAATGAATTAATATTAATTAATTAATTAAATTATAGAGAATTCAAAAATGTAAAACAGACCAAAGTGCATCTGCTCTGTTTGAGGCAGAAATGAGGCTGGAGCAGGCCAGCTTGGGTGAGCTCCCCACCCCCCCAGTGGGTGCTGGTAGCAGGTAGCAACACCTCCCCAGCACCAAGGAGCCGCTGTCCGGATGAGATCATTGTTATGGCCTGACTCCTTTCATCTTTTTTCTCGCCTTCCTCCACCTTACCTTTTGAGTGTAAAGTGAAAAATCAAGACAGTTTACTGGTTTACAGTGTACTGTGGGTGGTAAACATTTAACCAGACGATTTCTAAGGTCCCTTCAGCTCGTTCTAACTGGAATTTGTGGTCATGAAGGTTGAGCTGTACTGGGATTAACATTGTACCATCTGTAAGGAAAGGATTTTCTCATGGTTAAATTAAGACTTAAATTAAGGTTAAATTAAGAATAGGGTTATATTAGTACAGTTTTCATTTCAAAGCCTTCTAACAAAGTAATTTTTTTGGCAAATATGCTACTGATTATGAATGAGTATTTTTTAATTAAAATGACAGCTTTCTAAATTCCCTAAAGATATTCCATATGGGCTTCAAAATAGTCCAGTGGGTAGGAGGATTGGAGATTTATATAGCTGAAACAAGACTGGCCATTTGATGATTGTTTAAATGGGGTACTGTTTAAATGAGTTCATTATTCTATTCTCTTTACATGTATATATGTTTGAAATTTTACATTTTAAAAAGTTACTGAATCAGTCCATAATTCAAACTTCATTTCTTTTCTTTCCCCCACTTATTGCAAGTGGCAGATTTGCTGGCTGTGTTAATAACATGTTTGACAGACTGGCCAGTTACCTCAGTTGGTTGGAGCATGGTGCTGATAACACCAAGGTTCAGGGTTCAATCCCTGTACCAGCCAGCCACCAAAATAATAATAATAATAATGATGATAATGTTTGACATTAAAACATGTCCAGATATCCATTATCTATAATACACCAATTGCTTTCTTACAGACTCTGGAGTGTTTCTGAAATCATTCAGTACCTGAATTGCAGTATTTAATTTTGTAATAAATCAATTATAGGCGTCAGCTTCAGGCTCAAGCAGAACTGGTTTTAGAGGAAAACAAGTTGTTGATAGAACAGTTGGAGATTCAGCAAACGAAAGCCAAGGACACCCACCAGGAGCATCTCCAAGAAGGTGAGGTCTTTCCAGTGAGTAACAGTGATGCTGTGATGTCACTTGTGACATTTTACACTTGTACCCACCTCCTGTAAAGGGCCCCCAATTGAAAATGGTGGAAATCATGTTCTTTAAAATATTTTCTTCTTTACTGAAATACTATTTGTATCATTTCCAGCCATTACTCTTAATGCATTGATTGCTTTCTCTTAGACTCCACAGTGTCGCTCGAATCATTCTGTGTTTCATAAATCAATTGTGATAGCTTTAGACTCAGCAGAATAACATGAGGGTTTTAGGGTACAATAGTGCCTTAGAAATGAGAAAAATCATGTCAGGTAAATATTTGAAACAATCCAAGGATCTCTTTCCAAATATTTGTTGAACAAGTAAATAAGTTGAACAGTTCACTCTCTAAACAACTTATCTGTGCTCTTCCCCTTCCTTCAAAGCTGTGAGCATTGCAAGTTAAACCTCTGTAGGTTAGATCTCTGTCAAATACCTTCTCTGAGTGTCCTGTCTCCCCATGTGTCCCTCCCCACCCCTAGGAGCCTCACAGCATATGACAGTGGACTTCAAAGTGGGCCAAGTTAATAGTCATTTCTTCTGCTTTGATTAAAACCAAAAGTTATGAGCACAAAAGATAGTGGCATTTTCTTCCTTTGCCTTACTGATTTTTCTTTTCCAGTGAAGAATGATATAGGACAGAGGCTGAAATATAAGCTGTCTTGCATGGCCCAATGTAACCCCTCCTTTCCATCTTCCTTTCTGCACCTGTTTGTTTAATGACTCCCATTTCAACACTGTGCAAAAGTTCATTACCAGCCTCTGCCATTGATGAAGCTACTGGGCTAGTATTTCCATTTCACCTGTTTCTGATAACGAGGCCATATTTAAAGATGAGATCATTTCTGGAAGAGTCCTATAGGAATTTCCTCCACAGGCCCTCTCTATAGACCTGTGTGGCCCAGGAGTGTTTGCCTTTACTCTGGCATTGTTGAGGACAGGAGGAGAGATAGAGTTGTTGAGCCTCCTATCTTTGTTTTCAGGATTGGAGATGACAGGGAAATTAATTTTCTACTTACCGAGCTTAATTTTTTCCAACTTACCAGATCTGAACAGGTGTAATGATTCTTCTAGTCATGTGGGGCAGGGCAAACCTTTTGACCTGTGTGATTCAGTCAGTTGCCTATGTCATTTTTCTATTCTCCAGAAATAGCTACTCATGTTGATCAACTAAATGTTTTCATAGAGTAGAAAGATTTAAAGTTTTTCACCGTAATACTTCTAAGTGCTAGTTTCAACAGATGCCCAGGAAATATCTTATTATTACATACTTCCGTTTCACGGAGGATGAAAATATTTATGATTCACTTTAGATACAGGACATATAAAGATTTAATGAGGAAAGGGAAGAAAAAACAGTAAATTCGGTTCTTAGTCTGGCTATGTTTGATGTCCTTAAAAATCTTGAAAATCTTGCAGTTTTTGGGACAGCATCATGATACACGTTTGTACATCTGTGTATGATTTAAGGCTTCAGTCTTTGGAAAGTAAGTTCCTTGAAGATTGGAATCGTGTCTTGTTAAATATTATAGTGAGCCCTAGTAAAAAAGTGGACATTTAATGAGTGCTTAATATAGGGACAGTAATTTCTAAGTACAAGGCCTTTGGCATTAATTTATAACTCTCCAAAAGACTTTTAAAAAATCGTTTTTATGGGCCGGCCCGGTGGCACACTCAGTAGAGTGCGGCGCTTGGGAGCGCGGTGGCGCTCCCTCCGAGGGTTCGGATCCCATATACAGACCGGTCCACTCACTGGTTGAGCGCGGTGCAGGCGTGACACCGAGGGTTGCGATCCCGTTGCCGGTCGCGGTACGGGCGCAACACTGAGGGTTGCGATCCTCCCGTTACTGGTCACGAAAAAAGACAAAAAGGAAAAAAAAAAAAGATCCTTTTTTTTTTTTTTTTTTTTTTTTTTTTTTTTTTTTTTTTTCGTGCCCGGCGCCGGTTCGC